GATGCGACTTAGTAAGGAATAAACTAAAGCATTGTGGTATTTTGAAGTCGGGATTTGCGAGCATGTGGGACTACCCGAGCGAAAACAAAGGGCTCAATTTTGGTTTCAATTTGCTGGAAGATTTTGCATTGAATGGACCCCGGCGTGCTGAGAGAGTACAAGAAGGATGTTCTAGTCTGGAGTTTCTTTTCTTTTAATTGAGGGAAGAATGATACTTGAAATTAGTGAGATTGGGTGAGATACTGACAGCTGCTCATTAAGACACTTACTTCTATGCGGATGAGACTGTCTCCTACTGTAATTGAGTGTGTGCCAGTGTAGAGATCTAGAGTTTTGGCTCCTCCGCACATCTCATTGTTTGCTTTAAGGCTATGTTCGTGTCTGTTGTACGTCTCTAATTGCCGTGGCGTTTTCAGAAAAGTCGGGGGTCTTACAATTGTAGGTGAGCAACCATAGTCCTCCGTCCATTTCATAAAAGTTGAAACTCAATGGCGTTGAGCGTCGATTCCGCAACAAAACTACATTAAGACTAGACGTGTTCAATCGGCAGCCCTCATATCGGTTCCCCCACTCTTGAAGTCGGAGAAGTTCCAAAGACCTTGCGCCTCCGATGCATCCCCCTCATTCTGTTGTACACTCTTTATCTCCGGATCCTCGACTCCATCGAGGTAGACGCTGAGATAACGCCCACTTATGCAACTACAGGGAAATGTAACCAATTGTGGCATCATCCTACCTGATAGACAATGTCTCACCGAGGTACGTCAGCTATTTCTTACAAGGTCTCTGGCCTGTCTCACCATAGAAATCTCTCAGCACAGCGGCACTATCATTTTTTTTATCGCGGAACGCAACTCTAATCCCTGGCGGAACGTGTGACCTGTAATGTTCCGCAAGACGAATGTGTGACGTCGATGGTGAAGGCGAGGGGTAAATTGGCGCTACCACTAACAAAACAAGAAGTATCCCAACGGCACCATTCAAGGGCGCGTGCTACCTCCTCATACGGACCAGTACAAAAGGCCAGTGAGTCGTACCCTTTTGCTTAGCCTTGGCTCTAAGCTCGTACTGCCCGGGGACCTGAAGAGACTTTCTGACTCGGCTTCTTGTCTACAATCAGCCGACCAGAACCGAGACCGAGAACCCCGAACCAACTACCGGCCCATCATTCACCATGCCGTCAATTCGCAATACTGCCTCCGATGTCCCGGACATGAACCTCTACAAGCTCAACCGGGTTCACCGCACGCTTGACAAATTAAAGGAGAAGAACGAATGGGAGGCAGAAGATACAAAGTCCTTTGACTGCATGCACTACCTGGGCGATAGTGCGATCGAAACGGCTGCCAAGTCTTTGGGCCTGCAAGCCGGGGAGCGGGTGCTCGATATCGGATCCGGGTTCGGTGGCACGGGCAGATACCTCTACCGACACTTCGATGCTACGACAGCTGGCATTGAGCTGCAAAAGGAGATTCACGACATTGCTCAGACAATTAACGCAAAATCGGGTGCTGAGGCAAATGCGACATCCACTAACGGCAACTTCCTCAAACTCGACCCAGCTGAAATGGGTGCGCCGTTTGACCACATCGTCTCATTCCTGTGCATCCTGCATATTCCAGAACGAGAAGCCCTGTTCAAGAAAGCACACAGCGTCCTCAAGCCAAGAGGCAAGATGTACATTGAAGACTTCTTTGCCCGAACATCTCTGGACGCCAAGACTCTCGAGGTCTTGAGAAGCTCGGTTTCCTGTCCGGACTTGCCTGACAAAGAGCATTACATTGCAGAGCTCGAGAAAGCTGGGTTCGAGGTCACTGACTGGGTTGATATGTCAACCATCTGGACAGACTTCGTGCATGAGCGTGCTGAAGCCTACAAGAAAGATCCGTCGATAGATGCTGATCTCACCGCATTCTATGATGCCGTTGATGAAGTGTTCTCTGGAGGCCAGGTCGGAGGCACCCGAATTACATGTCAAAGAAAGTAAATGCATCGGTTGCCTGTCTCTATTTTCTACCTTGTTGTGAAAGCTTGTTTATCACAGCTCTGCATAGGGAGATGGTGTTGTTACGGCTTGGACATAATCATGCGGACTATGTCTGCGTGATGTGGGCGTCAGTCTCTGACAGATGCATACAGTCTGGCATCTCATCATGCTTTGGAATTAAATTCTGAAACGTAGCCACGGAGAATTGGTTTACACTGGTCAAAAGTGCGGTAGTTTTCTCGCGATAATCCATGCTGCAATTAATCCTCGGTTTCTCCGTTGGGCACCATTACTTAACCTTGGGTCATGAAAGATAATCCGATATTCCGAGAGTGTGCACACATTGGCGCAAGAGACAGCTAGGTCTTCGGCGCCGGGAAATACTTACGTGCCACCCAACCGCAATCCACGCTCCCCGCGGACAATCTTAGTAAATAAGACCCGAGCTTCCTCTTACTTCAAGTGAAGAGCTTCTCGACTCTATCCGTACGTGATTCTTGTTGCAGAGTAGAGCGTCGGCGCAATGTCCAGAATAACTTTAAACTTTACTCAGACACAACAGGCTACTTCCCTCTCCTGTGAACACTCGGTATCCAAAGACACTGCACGCAACATGGGATGACTGGCGAGAACCTCGTGGCTCGGCCAGGGACACTGACACGGCTGCTGTGGGATTTCTTAATAAGGGGCACCCGTACTGCTCGGCATTGTGACAGACACAATTCACACACGCAGCCCACACCCACCCACCTTTTGACACTTTGCATTCCCCGGAGCTATCCAGGGAGCAGAGTTTGGGTAGCGGTCTCAACTGCACGAATCAGGCAAGTTTCCGGACGGGGAACAGTGCCCTAAAATGGCAAAATAAGAGTACACCGCTAATGACTGTACAGTGTTTCCGTTTAGCAGCGGCGTAGAACCGATAGCGAGCTCTTTTTTTCTCTTTTTCTATCGGCTAGTTTGCGTTTGGGCCACCTCTTTCCGGGGACTTAAGGCAGAAACAATTTAGGAAACATACAACCTCGCAGGAATGCAAAGCGTATTGAAGCTTTCTACACACGTCCCATCCCAGCGAATTTTCGGTATCGGTCCGAGTTTTCGTAAAGCCTACCATACTATACGAATTTCTGTAAAAGCACTCTGCCATGCGTAGAGTTCGCACTCTGTAGTGATCAGTGTCTGTGTCATGTCAGCTATTAGTGATTACTGAGGAAGGTGATCCTTTACTCGCGCGCCCCTCTTAATGAGAACTTGGCATCACCCGCCCCTCAGTTGGCCAGGGCGAATTTTGATGGAGATTAGTGATCTACGCCTAGTGAGACAGGGATTCAAGTTTGGGACTTTGGAACCCCGTCTATGGTCGGAGTGCTCCGCCATGCCATGGCCGATTCAAGAAGGGCGATGATATCCTGCCACCACCTGCCGCTATTCTACCACTAATTATAGCTACGGCCGCTATATAACCGCCGGTCTCGGGTATATATATAAACTAAGCTTTACGTAATTAATATTTAAATAAATTAAGCTAATTAAAGGCTATTAATTAACTTATAGTTAATTAAATTATTTTAATAAAAAGTACGATAATTAATAAATTAGCCTAATTAATTATTAATTACTTTATATAACTTATAGCCCGTAATTTAATAACTTTTTTTATTTTAACTTCGTATTTTATTTTAGCTTCGTACTTATTAATAAATCTATTTATTTCGCTTTTTATTATAAGATTAATATTATAAAAGTAATCCTCGTTAATTAGATTTTATAATATATTTAATTATATAAAATTACTAATTAATTAGAATTACGACTTTATAAGTATTAATAGCCAAGGAGTTCTTATAAAATTAATTATATTACTATTAATTACGTTAATTATTACGTTAATAATAGCCCGCTAATACTTCTACTATATTTCTATATTAAGCTCGTATATATTAAAATTATATATAATTTTAAGGCCTTATTAAGTAGAGGTAGTTTTACTTAGTACTAAAAGTATTATTAATAGTAGTAATATTAGTACGGGTACTATTTTTATATATTTAGTAATTTCCTCGTACTTAAATATAAAGGGCTCTTATTTAGAAAAAGTACTTAAATTAACTATTAGTTTTTTTAATTTAAGTATTATAGTACTTATTATAATTATTATAATACTTATTATAAAGCTCTATAAGTAACCCTTACTTCGGACTTATAGAGGATTAAGTAGGGGAGTAAAGATATTATTATTAATAATAAGCTCTAAGCGTTATTAAAATTAATATAAATAAATCTTTTTTAATAATATTAGGGTACCGTCCTTAATATATTACTAAAGGACGTAGTAATAAAGTAGTTTATAAGTAGTTTAAATTAAATAGGGTACGTACTCTCTTAACGGCTTTTTATATAAACTTAAATTTAGTTATTTACTTAGTATATAGAGTTTTTATAAGAGGCGCTTAAGGGTATTATAATATATATATAATAGTTTTTTTTTCTAGCTTTATAGGTACAAAAGATCGACCTTAACGGGATTACGCTTTTAAAAGAAATTATATAATATAATATACTTTTTAATTATATAATATATATAATATACCCTAAGTATATACATAATGTAATATAGTAATTTTAATACGAAAACTGCTATATAATTCGGGATAAGTAAGCTACTTTTTACATAGCGGCGCTGGCTAGAAAGGTTAATAATAGAGGTCGGCCGTAATAGTTAGTTATAATAATCGGCCGTAATAGTTAGAGGCGGCCTTCCTTAACCGCAGAGGTTCTGAACTTTAATAGTAATATAAAGGTTTTTAGAGAAAGGGCTAAATAGGCTAATATCTATTACTCTTCGTACTAGAGCTCGCAAAGATTCTTTCTATCCTTATTGCTTCTAATATCGCCCAAAGCTACTCTCTATTTAAACTAAATAAATCTACTAAACAAATCTATTAAATAAACCTATTAACATATAAACTACTACTCTACTCCCAGCATATAGTCAGCAATTAGTGGGCCAAAGATGCCCATTAATAAGTCTACCCCTCTCGGGCTAGGCGCCCTCTTCGGCCAGCTCGACGCTGTGGCCATCGTGGCCAACGTGGGCACGCCCGAGGATTGGCAAAGTACCTTCCGGCGGTGCGGAATTCGGCTGGGCGTTAGTACGATTATAATATATATATATATATATACCTTTTTTTAAAATAATTCCGTAATAATACTTAATACCTTAGCTTAATAACGGGTTTAGTAAGCGCTAATTATAACTACGTAACTTACTTAAAAAATAACTAATTTATTAAATACGGCTTTAAAGTCGCTTATATAATAATAAATTCGTACTTTAATACTTATATATAAGGATTTAATAATTAACGTAGTTAGGTAACCGAAGTACTTAATTTAGTTAACCTAAGTAAGTACGATTTTTTTATATTATAGCTTAAGCTAGGTATTAATAGCGTAATTAACTACTATTATAAAGTACTTAGTAATTTTAAATTTAAATAATTAGTCGTAGTATATAGCTATTAATTTACTATAGAGGAGATTACCTTAATTTATAAAGAATTATTAAAAACGAGGGTTATATATAACTATACTAGTCTCGTCTTTTATAACCAGGCTAAAGTAGTACCGGGTCTTAATTAATATATTAAGGTTAATATACTAGTAGTAAAGTACGTATAGTACTATTTTAAATTAAATATTATTATTAAAAATATTAAGTAAAGCAATTTCGTAATTTATATATATAATTTATAAAAAGGGAATATTATAGGCCCGGAGTAATACTAATAACTAGTTAATAGCTTAATAGTAGTTAGCTTCTTTTTTACTAAATAAAAAGTAGCTCGTAACTTAAAAAGTATAACTATTATTCATAGCTCTATAAATATTAAATAGTAGTATATTAAATTAATGAGTTTTATATATAAAATTTATTAATAAAATATCTAGATATTATTAAAGTAAGGAAATCGTAATAGTAGGTATAATAAATAAGCTCGTAATATAACCCGTATTGTTATATTAAAAGTAGTATTGATATTTCGTAAAATTATATAATTAGTTAAATAACTACTCAATAAGGGATCTATTACCTAATTCGTTATAGTAGTAGGTAGCTAGTATATTAAGTATATTATAAGTAATAATACTGCTATAATTACTATTTTTTAATTAGAGGCTCGAAAGGATTTAAATAAGTTAAATACCCTTATTTTATTAGTTAACGATTTAGCCCTTTTTACTATATAATAATACGTAATAATAATATATAAAAGTATTAGTATAGCTAAATAAGTAGTTATAATAGTTATAGAAGTTATTAATAACGGGATAGAAGAGCTAGTTACTACTTAAAAAGCTAATAATAATTTATTAATAATAGTTTATAAATAAAAATAAGGATTTATAACGTTTATTTAAATAAGTTAATTTTATAAAGCGTTATTATTTTTAATTATAATATAGGCTATAAGTATAATAATAAGTAATAATAATTAGTGTTTTAGTAAAGGGTTTATATTAAATAATTTAGATCGTAAAGCTAGCTTTATAAGTAGCCTTATTAAATACTACTTTAATTTTAAATAAGTTAGAGAAGTACTAACTATAAAATAAATAGTCGTACTCTACGTAACTATATTTATTATAATTAATAGTATATTAATAAATAAAGGGATCGTTAACTTCGTAATTATTTTCTTTTTATAATATATTAATATTAAGAATAGTTTTAATTAGTAGTAGTAGTAGTAGTAATAATAGCGAGGTTAATAAAGTAGTAGTAAGTAAGTAGGTAAGTAGGTAGGTAAGTGGGTAAGTAAGTAGGTAGGTATAGGTAGCTAGGCTCCGTGGTCGGAGGCAGGGGCAGTCGTAGCCACAATTGGGGGCAGGATATCGGCAGGTGCTGGCAGGATATCATCGCCCTTCAAGAAGCGTTCGGCGATGATGTGGACGACGGGTGAAGTCTATGATGGGATTTGCGAGGTTCCACCTCACAACTGCCGTTTCATCAATTTGCTGATGAGAAGTGTAATCAGCTTATATGAGAAGCTATAGTGTAGGCCAGGTGTTTCAACACAACTCTACGTCTACGATATCAAATCAGGCCCCAGTATCCGTACTGATACGACAGTCTCAATCTGGTACCTACCAAGACAAGCAGGCTCAAACATCTAGATAGTCATCAACGTTCCTGTATGGTGCACAAGAGGCGTAGAACTCGCTAAGCATACGCTCTCACTGACTCAGACTTGCATGATGCGCAACTTGACAGGCCGATAGTGCGGCTGTAGGTATCGATGGCGCAATGCAGGCTGAGAAGCAGACGGCAAATCAGAGCATCCTTCCATCCCAAGCTAGCAATAGCTTGTATTCCCGTATAGCCTATTGCTTTGCCGCCTGGCGGTAAGAATGAGGCACATGAGCTGCTATGAATGCGAAAGTGTGGCGGGCACCCTTCCCATTACTGATTACATGCGTGGCGGACTGGGATTGGGCGCAAATGGGTATAGTGTTTGTAAGACTTGGCCCTGCAATTGGTACACTGACGTTTACGTGTTCGTATGGATACTTAGGTAAAGATGTCGAGACGTGAAATGAATCAAAAGCTTGATTGGCCTGGCGGTGATAATAAGAAGAATGCCCTACGGAGTAGATGGTCGACCTACGGATTACCTCTCCCGAGGTAGGGGCGTACGGTCTCATTAGTCATTCTGTGCCTCCAGCACCCATTCCAGAAGGTTGTTAGTGTTACAGGTAGCATAAAAACAATATGGGTTGCGGAGGCCGAATTCCGTCGTTCGGCTGTGTGTGCGTGTGTGTGACCTTGCGTTGGACAGGGCGTTAGAGAAATGCTAGAGCCTAGAGGGGACTGGTTCGCCCCAAACTTGTACAGTAGAGGCACGGGTCCCTTCAAAGTTACAGAGTTGTTCGCTTTCGCAAAAAAAGATCCTTGATTGGGCCCCATATTGTGGGATACCGATATTGAAGGGGATGCCATTCTCGGATTTGTACGACATTACGAAGTCTCGGCTACTATGGAGGGGTCCTTCCTTGCGGCCGATGAACTGCAGGAGGCCGGGCTGTCCGGACTTTCATTCCTCCACCTTTGGTTGCTTTCTGCCTCGTGATTTCTGTCATGCTTGACTATGGATGTGTAATCCATGATGTGAATGGCGTCATTTGAGTCAAGCTCTGCATGCCAGTTGTACTATTGGGGGGAATGTACGGATACGCCTCAGGGATACACGTATCTCGGTAGGTATGCACGGCTCACTCAGGTCTCAGGAACGCAAATCCAAACCACAGCCACCGATTGTTGTAGTTTGATGTCTGACAGGACCTCTACGGTCACACGGATTCCGAATACCGAACGCTCGTTGGCTGCATTGAATAGAGGCACTGCGGAGCGCGCACACTCTATCACCTAGTTGCATGAATAATGGCGGGTGCGTAAGGGTATATCGGACTGACCGTCCGCAGTAGATATTAGAGTTGCACCAGATTGTGATTGAGTCACAGAAATAGACAAGAGGGCGGATAACGGGGGAGCAATATGGTTCAGCTGGACGAAGTTGCACTGGGTTGCGCAGAGTTTTGCTACGAATACCGAGCCAGGTAGGTAGGTATCGGTATCGTGAGGCGGCTTTGAGGAGGAATGGAAAGGCTAAAGTAATGACCTGTCAAGAGAGAGTTTATGACTGTGCGGAACGGGTTATGTAGCTTAAGGACCAATGAGTAATCATTGAGACGGACAATGGGGCGCCGGAAGCAGTTTAATGTTTGAGAAGGGCCAACAATTTACGATGCAGGCAAACGGGCTACGGGAGTAAGTTGGACAGTTGGACAGATTGGGAGGATGTGTGCGTGCCTGAAGCTTGGTTTTGAGTGGTGGTGGATCGTGGAAATAAGGACGGCTATTCCGCACCCACATGAAGGCTATCCCGCACCCATACTAGGCCTATTTAAGCAAATAATAGGCTGTACGTGACTGTACGTAACTACACTACCAAAAAGCAGTCATACGTTAGGCTAGGGCGCGCCTTCTTATTATTTCTGAAAATTCGACGCGTCTTTTCTATCTAATACCTCCTTTTTTAGTTATTTTTAAAGTAGGATAAGTACTTTTTTAAGTACTAAAATATAAGCTCTAGAAAAGTATTTCCCTTGAGCAAAGACTAGCTTCTAAAGTCGTGGTTTTAACTCCAAAAAGCGCACATAAGTAGTATTATAAAAGAGGGTAAAGTAAAAAGTATAGTAGGTAGTAGAAGGTATAGTAAGTAATAGAAGGTGTAGTAGTAGAAGGTATAGCAGTAGAAGGTATGCCTTCTAATCCTCTCGAAACTACTAAAATAATAAAAATTCCGCTTTAAACGTAGCTACTACGGCGGTGTAGTTATGTATAGTTACGTATAGCCCATTATTTGCTTAAATAGGCCTAGTATGGGTGCGGGATAGCCTTCATGTGGGTGCGGAATAGCCGTCCCCGTGGAAATAGTTTCTTCATTCGGTAAGGACGTCAACAAGCATTGCAAGCATTCTGTGTTAGTTTGGTTGGTTGGGCGTTTGCGCCACCGGTGCGCCTGTGAGGTGAGTGCGCATTCAGTCCGACGCCAAGCAGGGGCCAGCAAGTATCAGTTGATTTTGCCCATGTTCCTCTGTGTGTGTGTTCGGCTCACAATCGAGGGTGAACGGCACCGGGGGGGGGGGGGCAGAAGGTCATAATATCAGGTGGTACGTATGTACTCCGTATGGCTAGAGAGGAAGCCAAAAGTCAAATTACGCTCTACTGTGATAAGATAGCCGTGGAAAGGAAAAGCACGGCGACGGGTCCGTGGTATAGATCTCTACGGCAGACGGCAGCGCATGGTTTGGTCCATGGTGCGTGCATACATTTCCGGGAAAGGGGGGTTCAAGTTGTAATTGGATCCACGGACAAGATCCCACGCGGGCCGCGGACACGGCGAGCGAGCGGTTTCGAGTGGGATAAATTATAAAAAGGCATGTTTTGAGTTGGACTACGCGGAATTATGGTCCGTCTTGGAATAGCGGCATCATCTAAGAATTTGAATCCGCAACTCTCTCGACTGAACTGCAACATGGACGAGGGAGTGGTTGGCAGGTGTCGGGTGTGTGCCACCGCCTAGTGCGTGCGCTGTACGAATATTTTGTACCACGGTTCGTATTAACATAGCTACGGAGTACCTAGAGGCTAGATGAAAGACAAGCCGAGGGTGAAAACGTGTACTTTGTATGAAGTAGTAAGGTACGCGGATCTCGGGAGCTACCCAGAGGAATAAGGTAAGCTGTACTCCGTAAGCGGGCGGGAAACAAGGTGCAAGCAAGCCAATGTTCGACGGCCCTGATCACGATGCCGATCGACCTAACGTCTCCCGGACTTTACAGGCTGATCCAATGTCCCAGTGAAAGTGCAAATGCGCCAGGAAAGTAATAGTTTGGCAGGGGGTCCGTGATGAGTCGCGTGGGACGCCGGGCGAAAATTACCAAAAATGCTCAATGGTAGACCAATGAAAGACGCTATTATGGACTGTATGACGGCGCGATATACCCATGCCCTGCCTTGCAAGTGGTGCCAAGTCACGGGTCCAGTTAGGCTGTAGAGTACGCGGAGATACGGAGTACTAGCCAGTGAGGGTCTGATTGAGTCTGAATTACGTTCTGTCAGACCGGTGGGAGAGTCATGCCCAGACTTTGCCATGCAGTCTTTTAGTCCAATGTGTTTGAGAAGAGTCGGAAGAAGATGGGTGAGGTGGCTGCGCATCGATCCGAGGCTTCGGCTTCCTCGTAAAGCCGGTTAGGTTAAGAGCGGCGGTGATGTACGTTCTCACACTCGTGTGATGAGATGAGATGAGATGAGGTGAAGTGAGGTGAGATGAGATAAGGAGGAGGTAAGCACTGAGCAGTGCAAGTGAGCGACTAGGGTGGTCATTCATATAGCATGGCACGCATGGCAAGCCGCAAGGCCAGGGTACGATTACTTACTGGTGACGATGATGGTCAATGGTAAGCTGGTAAAGTACGGACAACGGAGTATCCGTAATACACCAACTACATAATCATGGGAGCATGGCGGCCATTGGCCATAGCCTGGCAGGGGCGCGGGGCGCAGGGTGATACGGGGATTTGGCGCAAAACAGATGCCGTGCGGATTGCTCCCGTCTGCTTGGAGGCTGGAGCCCATGGAACCCATGGAGACCTGTAGCGAGCGAGCAGTGAGAGGCGAGCAGCAGGTTCGCTTTCCCCCCTCTTTAAGGGATCAATGGTGTGGTGATGGTGGTGGGTCCCCGGGTGTATGAGAGGGGGAGGGGGGGACGACTGAGAGGCTAGAGCCACGGGGATGATGGATCGATGGCAATCTTTTGTGTCTTGAAAGTTTTTCTGCCTTGCCTTCACGAGAGCGAGAAGGATGAACGGGTCCGGAGATAATCATGAAGGACTCGGAAGTCGGGGGGTGGAACATGGAAGTATGAGCCCGACGGCGTTTGAGAGCGGCGAATTGGCGTGTTTTGGGGGCCCTCGCTGAGGAGGACCCTAATGCGACGAGATGCCCAATGGTGAGGACATGTTCGGCTAATCGGATACGTGTAATACACTACGAGGCGAAGGCCACGGCCACAGTCCAATACTTTCGAGATGGATTGGGATGAGTTGGGACTCGTTGGAAGTTGAACCATCAGTGAATGACTGTGTGTAGATGTCTTTGGAGAAGCGGGCTTGGAAATGAGTGGGCGTGGCGCCGAGCTGAAGGGGAGCTTAGGTACGGAGTACGGATTCAGCCTACCGTGCCACGAGTGTAATAGGAACACTGTAGCTAAGGCTAGGCATGGGCGTACGAGTGCTCCGTACCTTCGTATGGTAAGGTATTATAACGGATACGCGGTTGAGGAGGGATGGATTGGTACGCCTTGCCGTCCGTACTTCGTACCTTAATGAGTGAGTGGGAGCCTGTGAAGCATGTACCTCTGCAGCTTCTGTGACAGGGGTACCCGCCCTTCGGAACGCTATGTCCATTTCAGAATAGGTTTTCCGATGAATGGTGGGCAGCGGCGGATGGCTCCATTGCGTGAGATTCAGGTAATCAGAGTGCGAGAAGAGAATAGTGTTTGAGAAATGGAGAGGCAGAGAGCGAGTGAGAGTGAGACCAATACCAATGCACCTAGGTACCTACCAGGAGTGATGATGAGAGTGAAGAGAGAGATGCGCGGACTTAGGATACGCGGTCAGCCATAGAAAAGTGTACGTAGTACGTACCCTGGTACCTTGTGTCAGCAACTCAAAGTGAATGGAGGAAGGTGAGGTGGCCTGGAGAAGGGTTAAGAACTTAGCAGATACGTACCGATCCCTCCAAGACGCTTGGCCGTAGGGTCGTCCAATCCCAGCCGGGTCTGAGAGAGCAATGTCTCTCTTTCCTTAAAGGCAAGCGGAGGAGCAGAAAAAAAAAGAGACAGACAATAAATCAATTTCCTGTATCCGTAAAAGGTATCCGTACGGCGCAAAGTACCCAGGCGCTGATAAACCAAAAAAGCCCCTCCCCCCAGAAACAGCTTGCATGTGCTTGACACACAACACACCTCACACACGCTCTCTCAGATTATCTATCTCACGACACATGCACACTCTAGCCCAGTCAGACGTACCTTACTCCAGCTGTCTCTAGTCTAGCTTGGTCTGGTATAAGTAGCCACCAAATGAGCACTCTGCCTACGGATACGGGTACTTCCACACGGTATGCTGGTCTTGCTTTTCTCTTCTTTAAAGTATTCATCATTCTTCTCGGCCCATCCTCATTCCACTTGTCTTGCTACACACTCCTGCTTAGACACCGTACACCCATCTCCCTCCCCCCTATGAGTATTCATTCGTAGGGATAATTTGGACACCTCGCTTGTTGTACAGAAAGTAGGATCGTTCTTTCTCTCTCTCTTCGGTTGGCACGGGCTCTGGCTGATTGCCAATACCTCAGAGGATCAGTAGAACAGCAAGCAAGTCAGGTACGTACTTGGCGCTGAGCGGTTCCCATTGCTTTACCTTGCCTTACCGGGTACCTATCTACCCAGTAAGGTATTGTACGCAGTCTCTCCCTTTACCCTCACTTTGCCTTACAGTCCTTACCTACATTACCCTACCTTACCTTTACTCCCCGGTCTGGTTGGTCCTTCCTCACCTTGTCTATGATGGCATGATAAGACTCGAGAGGAAGCAACGGGCGGCAGAGGCGCACCTGTCATTCTACGTTAGCTGGCGGTTATTATGTAGTAGTAATGCCGTTCATTGGCAGGCCCAACAGCATTTGCTCTTTCCCAAAACAATGGACTAATTTCCCTCCTTCCTTTCTTTCCACTCCTTGCCCTTCCATACCTGCCCTCCCCATATCCGTACCTTCCCATCCTTTACCTCGCCTCACCTCGAGGTACCTACCTAGGTACTATTCACCTTACCTTACCTTGCCTGTCTTTCTTTACCTTGACCCATCTTACCCAACATATTTGTCCGTCATTCATCTTCCAGATCCATCCATCACCAGTCATCGCTGGTCACCTTCGCCTTCACCTTCACAGTCACTCGCTGTTTGCATCTTCCTTCTTACCCTTTGTTGTTTGTCATCCTTCTACCGCCTTCTTACCGACCACGCGCCCTCGTTTCTTTCATCTTTTCTTCACCTCCCATACACCCAAACTCTGCGCCTTCCCACACCCCCCGGTCCAAACGACTTCACCTTTCCAAGTGGCAAGTACTGGCGCCCTTGACAGCTCCCAGTTCTATTTTCGATCACCACCATACCGATAGACGAGGGGTCCCGCATCTCTGCATCTGGGATCTGGATCTAATTCATTTTCACTCTATTTCTGCCTGGCAACTTATCCTAACCGGGACCGAGCAGGTGTCCGTACGAACTATCCATACAGGCAATCCCAATAGGCAGACGTCGTTGACTTGCCACCTACACAACACCACCCACGACCGGACTTCTCGCTACCACCGCCGCACCTGCCTACGCTGCCTGCCTACCAACGCCAAAGTCCCTTTCATCTTGACGACTACACACCGAGCGAGGCCCCATCACCTTTTTTTCTCTTTGCCTTTTGTCGACTCTTCATCTCACGATTCCCTTTGTCTCAGAGTCGTCTTCGAGTCTCATCGCCCGAACCCTCTGCGGCATACTGCTTTACGGATCACCTCCTTGCTGCCGTTGCAAAGGATATCGCATCCGTCTGCAAGCTCTAGTCAAGAGTTCCACCCTGACTAAGTGACTAATCATCGACATTATCCGTCCTTCGTTTTGCGGATTACGAATCGCATAGGAAAACTCTCTGGGTAGACTACTTCATTGTGGTCACTGAGTGGATAATACTCCATTCGACCCTACTCACACAGAGGTACTGACATGACCGATATACCACCTTCTTCTTGCGTAATGCCGTTGACCCGCAGGGTTGATATATCTTGAAATGCAGTATCTAATGCCATGTTTGAAATAGGTTCTTGTAGTGGCCGAGTCTCGGGCATGGGTCGTCCAAACTGAGTCAGTCGGTCAACCTACTATCAGCAGAGACCTTGATTGAAACTTCTGCCGAGCGGACGAGACAGACACTCATCCTCGTACAGCAAACTCCATCTTGTGGTCATGGCGAGTATCTCATCTTCCACTGCGACCATATCGCAAAATGGTCAATCGGATCTAGACCAAGACCGTAAACGCTGGTTTGCAGAGTTCGAAGCGCTCAAAGCCCGCTTTGAGGCTGAAAAGGAGAATATAAACGCCAAATTCACCCAGCAGCAGCGTGACGCCTGCCACGATCTCGACGAGGAGGCCCGCTTCGCCGACACGTTAAATTTGCCACAAAAAGCTCGCGAGCTTCTTCAAAAGTATCAGCACGAACTCCGATCCCATCGATATGCCGCCTGTCAGCAAAGGCGTGATGTCGAGGAAAAGGACCGCGCAAGACGCGAAGCAGACGCTCTTCGAGAACATCACATAGGTTTCCCCGTGCCCGGCAACTACTCTATACGCAACACCGGTTATCCCCCAAACGCTGGCATGCTGGGACGTACGCCAACAAACCCGTCGGCTCAGATTGTTGGCGCGCGCGTTGGTCCAGCTGGGCGCGGCTCGCCTTCAACCATGCCGATGAGCACACCTCCCCAGCAGGCACGTCAGCCCCTACCACAAGGCCCCATGGTGCCAAATCAGCCTATTCAGCAGCGGCCGACAAACGGAATGCCCGGCCACGGCAGCTCGGCCCCGATGCCGTCTCAACTCGACCACCAAAGTCGTCAGTCACAGCAGGTCAACCAGGGCCACCCAACTCAAGGACAGGCCTGGATTCACCATAACCAACCTGGCCAGCAGCAGGTCTCACCTCGAACTTCAGCCTTGTATCACCCGAATCGGCCAGTCAACAACCCGGTGACAAACGGTGCCCCTCGGGTGCTTCCTTCGCAACCACATGTTCCTACATTGGGTAGCAATCATTACGGCCCTCCGAGAGCCGGGTCTGGACAGCCTGTCAATGGCACTCAGCACAACCTAGCTGATCGTAGTAACCGGGTACCTCTGCCGCCCATGAATGCTGGCCCCATGGGTTCTCGCGTGGATAGACTACAGGCGGGTGATGGGAGAAACTTTGCGCAAGGCGCCATGTTACGAGCGGAAGATGGGTTGAGACATTCTGTAGACTCCCACTCTGACCGCCATAAGATGGCCAAGAGGAAGTCGGATGCCAGCGACATGTCATCTAGAGATGCAGATCCGAAGCGCGCAAGAACTGATACGCCACAGTCAATAGCTCCCAGGACGATCACCTTTGCCGAAGTTTACCAGGACGGCAAAGCGGAATACAAGCACAACATCGTCAAATTTGAGGACGTTTTCTATATTCTGCGATGCGACGAACACGGTGTGCATTTCAAGCAGAATGCACTCGCAGCGGCAGCCAAGCACCTCCACGGCGCTTCCCATGGTCATCAGAAGAAGGAGCACAAGTTGGCGGTCGAAACTATCGGATTCCACGTCGTGGATTGTACGGAGGAGCTCGCTGTAATGAACAACGAATGTGTCCGCCTTGCTTTCGAAAATGGTTACAAGCCCCTGAACCAGCTGCACGGCCCGAAATCTGGTGGCAAACGACAATCGGCCGCTCACACGATGGCTCCTGTCAGGGACCCTTCAGTTTCCGATTCATCATTCCAGGCGACCCCCAATAGCGCGGGACCTTACCAAACGAAGTTGGAATCGAGATCACAGGAGGAGAAGCAGCAACGTGGTGGGGATCACATTATGAATCCAATTCCGGGTGATATTTACCACGCAAAATGGCCAAGGAGCAACAAGCTCTACATTGTTATGATACTGGGCTGGACATCCTTGAAGATGTGCGGATGGGATGGCTGGCTCAGCGACACACAGCTTTGCGATAAGAAGATCAGGCCTACGTGCTATACGTACAATGACGAAGGAATTGGTGGCTGGGCGCCTGGTTACGGAGATGGCGAGCCGCGTGAGTTGGATAGGGATGTCCCCGTTCTGTGGTTTGAAAAGAATGGCAACACCAGATTGGGTTGGCTTGGCGTTAAATTCATTCTGAAGCCTTTGCTGCTTGACGACCCTGACCGATCCACCGATCCCTTGGACCCGGCCAACAACGCGAGAAAGAAGTATGCTGAGATCCGTGGGTACGACTCGTTCGAGGCCATGCTGGCCCATGTGCAGGCAAGTCAATCACCGGCAGGAGCAGAATTGGAGTCGACGACAGAGACGGCGACGACGGGGACAATTCCCGCGAAGCTGCCGTCGTTTGCTTCGGCATCGGACTCGGACCCTGTACCCGATGTTGACATGTACGACTTTGGCGACAATCCTCCTCCAGCTGACGATTCGGATGACGAAGACTACGTGGAACCGAAGCGCCGAAATGGCCAGGATTCAGATGACGACATGGCGGATATCGACGAGGGCCCAACTACGCCTCAGCAGCCTCTCAGGCGGAGCACTCAGGAGGTGCGGCCTACGTCGCGGCTGAGCGAGAATGGTTGGATGACGGGGAGATCTGGAGCTGCTGCTGGCACTCGTCTGTCGGCCAAGAAAGAGAAGACGGTGGTCGATGGGGATGATGTGGCAATGGACGATGCTGTCCAAGTAACGCCGTCCAAGGATCAAACCGATAGCAAGGAGAACGCGACACCCGTCACTGCGAACACCAATGGAGGACGTGTTGCGGTCGCCCTGGGAACCCCCGCAACACCTCAGTCAGCATCCGCAGAGATTGCTGTGAACGGGCCGACCTCATTTCCCAATTCCGCTCCTCAACCTGATGGCAGCGCGCCTGTGAGCACCGTATCACCAGGCTCGAGCCAGACGACGGTTATATCGGCAACTGAGCGGCCTGCACTTACTGAGATTGCGGGGAGTAAAGCTTCTCAGAGACCAAATGCTCAAGATAGCGCGCATCCGGCGGTAGAGGATGCAAAGCCCCGGCAAGACAGCGAGAACCAGTCTCCGATGGACCAAGCATCAATGGCAAGCTTGGCCCAGAGCGCGATGAAGGCTGCTTCCAAATCGCCAAACCTCAACAAGGAAGTTCCCCGTGTAAGCCCCAAGCTGCAAATTGCAGACTTGGTCAACGACACAGCCGGCTCTGAAAATGCAGCCCGTCGGCCTCTACCATCCAAGTCGTCCCCAGGCGTTATTGAGCCAGCGCCACTCCGACACCCATTGCCTCAGAAGCCCAGTCAAGGTGTTCATCTCGACCAAATGACGAGGGCTAGCCAGCAGCCTTCGCCCGCACTTTCGACGAAGAGTATCAAAGAGGCACCGTCGCCGGCGTTGAACGGCCCGTTTCCTCAGCCTCCGCGGAGCGCTAGCGCGGCCAGCGGCGAGAGCGCTGCTCGCCGACCTGATCCTCGCATGAGCATCGCGAGCATGAGCAGCAGCAGTGCTCACGATGACCAGGAACGAGGGGCGATCAAGCAGACGGTGGTCATCAGCACGAGCAACGGCACTGCGTCGGGTAGTAGCACTCCCAAGGTGTTGACGCACGCCAGCTTGGTCAACAGTGAGCAGTGGCGTGCAGTTCGGGCATCGGAGTCACCTCGGGTCACACCTGCGGCGCTTCAATCGCCTCTCATCGACCGAAGTGCAGCGGCATCTCCTGCTCTAGGAGGCAAGAGAGATGTCGAGAACTTTATCGACGTGTCAGAGTTTCACCAGGGCAGTCAGCACTGGGTGCAGCCGGGAAAATTCCTGCGCTTCCACGCCGAGGACGAATCGAGCAGCATCGTGCGAAGCAAGCAAGAAGACGGCATGGAGGCCGTTGTGGATGCTAGTCTGGTCAAGGCAGCAAAGATGGCGGGAACGACTGTACAGTTGGAGCTCAAGACGGAGAAGGGCGAGAAGGTTGAGCAGAAGCTGGTGTTTGAGGCCAACTCGTTGACGGGCAGCCAACGCGGAGCAAAGCTTCAAGCGACCAAGTTCTACAAATGGCTGTCGGGAAAGAATCCAGACATGCAGCACCTGTATTGAAATGAGATACTACTGCGGTTGAGGAATCCAATGGCGGTCGGTGTTGCGTATGACCGACTAAACGGCGTCATGGGGTTTAGGCTCTTGGTTTGGTTTTTTTTTTCCCCTTCTCTTTTCTCATTGACCGTGAACCGCAATACGGGCTCGGTTATCGGCTGTTAGACTGGCTTTCGCAAGAGATATGGGATATCCTGAGGCGGAAAGCGATGCTGCTTAATCGCTCGGTATAGTGATTCGGGAGTTTTGGCACAAGGAAAACGTTGGGGATTGTTAGTTATGGGAGAACTTTCCGCTGGTATTGAGACGGAGATGTGTTGTTAGCTGAGCGGTATCAGGCGCATGCCTGCTTGATTGAGAATTATAGCACAAATTGATATTACATTGTTGAAAACACGTATGAGGGAGAATTTCAAGAACGTGGTACCGTAGTTTGTGAGTGAAGATGGTGGCAATGAGATTGGGATGTTGATCCGCAGTTCAGTTGGGAGGTTACCTTAAGTATCGGCCATTTGTTATCCGGACTTGAGTCTTGCACTAGAACCCATCATGCATGCTCACGACTATCCATGCGGGATGAGTTGCAGCTGGGATGAATAGTGGATCAGTAGCTTGCCTCCCTTGTGTTACCCGGGGATGGATGAATGGAGGAGGGATGGGAGCTTGGGGCGTCTACGGTCTGGGTTGTGAATTTGCATGTGATTGCCGGGGTTGAAGTGAGAGGGCTCAAGTGAGATGTGAGAGGTGGTGAGTGAGAGGCTGGGTGAGATGGAACTGAGTGTGAGCCTGAGCACCGGCCGGAGCTATGCGAAGTACTGCGGGAGGTACCCCAAATATCAGCAGGCACGTGGACGATGACCAGTCGCACCTTACCGGCTTAAGGCAGGTAGGTACCTCAGCCATGGATGGAGCAGCTCCAGCTGGATGCAGCAGCGTAGCTCTCGTCGCAATTCTTCAGCGCTCAACTCAACTTTGCCCGGCTTGATCCATTTCTCGATTCTTTTCTCCTTGTACAACTACTCTCCTATTTCACTTCGCCCTCCTCTATCCCATCTCTGGCTGCAAATCAACAGGCCAGGCAGTCCGATGCCGATGCCGCGACGGACACTCTAATGTGCGACCAGCGAGCCACTGCGACGACCTGATCCACGACTACCTTGCTCGACTACCGTACCTTACGAGTCTACGACTGCCCGCCTGCGACCGAAACCGATGACGACGTTGCTATCCACAGAGTCAGACAATTGCGATCGAATTCGGCTTTAGGAGGATATGCGCATGCCATTGCAGAAAGCCTCGTTCCCTCCGTTCCTCTAACCCTCTTCTTCAACCATCCTGCGACAACCACCGCTGTGCCCTTTCGCTAGCGAATCCCCCCAACCGCCAATACTTGATCCGAGTCGAATCTTGCATTCTACAACCATCGAGCACGACAACGAAGACAAGAAAGACGCGCAGAAGCCGCAGCGGCCCCGAAAGTCTGCGGAAGCAGTGGAGGACCAAAGACATTGATGGCTGCCTTTGTGAGAGAAGAGACCCTCCCCGAATCACCCCCACCCCCGACCCTCGCCCACCACATCCTTGCCCTGTAGTCTGTTCGTCATTACGGAGCAGCCTGCGGATACCCAGACCTTGAAGCGCACCGGCTCCGCCCTGTTCCGCCGTGGCCGAAAAGAGTGACAGCGAAACGGAGGCGGGCATGTTTGAATGTCTACCTCCCGATTTTGTCTATCTGGCCTTGTTCATGACAGTAACGCTAAGCTGAGCTGAGCTGAGCTGGACTGAGCTTGGGACAGCTGGTGGGAGCAGATGGCACACAGACAAGACTGAAAGAAAAGACACGGTCACGCCCGTCACGGAACTACCCCGGTTGTCTCTTGTGTGTCTCTCTCTGTCTGTGTCTTTCTGCTCAGCTGCCACTTGCGCTTTGGCATCCTTCAACGCATCAGCCACGTCATAACCTTTCCGCTCGTCTATCCTCTCTATCCGTACACTTTGCCTTCTACCTCTCGTTTCTCCTTTCCCACCCAACCTTATCACGCATCGCATTCCACCCCAAATGGCATCCAGTCTGCACACCTCATCCCCCCTCCGGCCTCACTGACGGGCGGCTTGCCACGGCTGCATCCATTTACCTACCCACCTACGCATCCATTCTTTGCATAACCCACAGCCAGGCTAACCATTCCGTCACCTGCTGCAGGATACGCCCTGGCTAGTCCACATGTCGACCCCAAAGGCCCACCGCGGCGCCGATGCCGACTCCGGAAACGATCCCTCCCAGGGCTCCGGCTTCGACGGCAACCCCTCCGGCGCGCCGCCCACCTACGCGACCTTCTCCCCCGTCACCCTCGCCGCGACCACTCCAAGCCGATCCTCCCGTCAGTCCACCATCATCGTCCATCAGAAATCTCCCCTCCTCCTAGCCACGCCGCCACAGATCACCCGCGCATTAGCATACTCGCATCCCTTTCTCCTGCCCCTCAATAAGCTTGCCGGGCTGTTGACATGGACGACTGACGATCCGTGGGAGAGCTTCCTCCTGCTGGCATCCTTCTGGGCCATTGTCCTCTATGGCGACGTCGTTGTGCGTATGGCGGGGCCGATCGTCGTTGTCCTGACATTGATACTGGGGATGTATGGCAGACGCTTCAGTCCGCTGAGCAGTAGTGGGTGGACAGAGCCAGCTTCCAAGGACCCTGGCGGCGCGCAGAACACCGGAGGAGGTGCAGCCGCGGGCAAGGCACAGAAGTCGGCACCCAAGAGCAGCACAACTACGAATACAACAAAGGGTCACCAACGAGGCGAATCAGAGGCAACGAACACAAGGCACCAAAAGACACTGGACGAGATTGTCGAGACACTGAAGGAGTTCACTGGGCGATGTAACCTCTTGCTGGAGCCGCTTCTCGAATTGACCGACTTTCTGAGCACTCAACGAACCCCTACGTCTGCCACAACACGACCAGCCTTGACGACGCTGTTCGTGCGCATCCTGTTCTGTACGCCTTTCTGGATGGCCTTGACGCTCCCACCATTACGCATCATCACAACTCGACGAGTGGCTCTGCTTTTCGGCACCCTGGTGCTTACATGGCATGCTAGATTCCTGCGAGTCGCCCGGACGCTGTTATGGCGCAGCGCCACAATCCGAAGGACGGCAGCCTTAGTCACGGGCTTAACATTTGAGAAGCCTGTCAAGGCCGTTCCTGTCCAGATCACCGCGGCAGAGAATGGCAAAGTGCAGGCCAAGCCGGCAGCATCGGAGCTCACCAAGGCGCTGCGCAAGCAGTCTCACAGGCATGGCAACAATGCCACGAGCAAGGATGCAGGTGTCAAGTTCACCTTTATTATATACGAGAACCAGCGACGATGGGTGGGCTTGGGCTGGACACAGAGCATGTTTGCCTACGAACGGTCGGCATGGACTGATGAACATAACAACCCTGTGCCGTCACGAGACACGTTTGAGCTGCCCGAGGTGGAGGATGGTAGTAATATGCGCTGGCGGTGGGTGGAAAGGAGCAAGTGGAGGGTTGACGGGGTCCCAGACGACGGAACTGAGCCCATTGACTATGACGGGGAACCTGGGAAGAATGGATGGATCTACTACGACAACAAGGTGAGCGAGCTCTGACTATTGTAGCTGAGTGAGTGCTGGAGTGTATGTGATGTGACTAACACATGCCGGTCAGTGGCAAAACGGACGCCGCGGCTCGGACGGATGGGGGCGTTGGACACGGCGGAGAAAGTGGTACCGCGACGCCGAGCTGGTGGAGGTTTCGGAGGACGAAATGGCACACGAACTGGACGCCTCACAAGCACCGAGCTCTGCCCGGCCGGGCTCGCCCACAACAGGTCCCCCGGGTCCCGCCTTGACGACGCAGAGGTACAGCACGCTCGAAGAAAAGATGGTTTCCCCTACACACTCGGCGCAAGACCTGACCCTATCAGATAAGGACCTGGAAAGAGAAAAGGACGACACGGCTTCCACTCTCTCGACGAGCTCGGGCGGACGATCATTTTTCAAAGCGCCGTCATTACGACGAAAGGTGACGGATAAGAGCGTCGCCAGCAAAGCCGACAAGGAGCAGGACCGCAGTCGTAGGGCGAGCGAGGCCAAGAGCGAAGAGGAAGCTGCGGCGCTGGGACTCAAGTTGAACCTCGCTTTACAGGGTAAGGAGGGTGGGCAATGGGGAATCGGCGATGAGGCCAGAATGAGTTTGGAGTAAATGGGCGACGACGTCCCCCGGGTTGGCTCAGAATTACGAATGAGTCTTAGTTACTATTGATTCCTGATTGGGACGGCAAGGTACTATACGCTGCGGTACGGTACGGTACGGTACGGCATACTGCACGGGAGGGGTTGGGCATGGACGCGGCGTTTGTCGGCTGTAGAGTATTCATGATTCGACAAGGGAAGAAGAGTACTTGATGTATGATTTGGGGCGATGAGACAGAAAACACACACGTGTTGTATGTGTGTGTGTATGTGTTTGCAAGTCTACAAGGCATGGCAGGCCGCAGGCTGCAGCAAGTCACTCACTCACTCACCCACTCTTTTTGGCTTTGACATGTGGTTTGGTTTGATGGGAAGGCGGATGTGCTTCCTATGGGCAAGGTACCTTGCTGCTTGCGCACGGGTGTGACCACAAATATGCGTGATGAAGTGTGTGTTATGTGTTTGTCCATCACTCTGCCTTGGGATGGTTAGGTTATCCGTACTGGTCAGTGGTCACTGGATGGGTGAATATGCGCGTGGTGTCGGCTGGACTGGCGGGAACGAGAAGAGTCCAAAGAGGGCGAACGACGATGAGTGGTGCGCAGGCGAGCTGGGCATCGAGACACGGGGTCTTGCGGGTCCGGGGTAACGGGCCTTTGCTGCGGGGGGTCCGAGAAGGGCAACTTTGCCTAGTACCTGACTGGTGGGAGGTCCAGGCCTTGGGGGGTGGAGGGGCAGGGCAGAAATAAATAGGTAAGAATAGTGTAAGAGGTGCCTCAATAGGTAGGCAGTGAATAGGTAGGGATGAAGGGGAAAAGGGCTGAGGGGGCACGGCACGGGGGGTGGATGGATGATGTGAGATGGAGGGCTCAGGTGCGACGCGGACGGGAATGGTGACGGGGTCAGGTGGTCCGTCGCATGTCGGAAGAAAGGGAGGCCACACAAACCTTTGAAAGGGAGAGAGAGATAGTACCGGTACCTAGGGCCTAGGCAATGCTGGGTAAATATCCGTAGACTTGTGTAGAATTGTAGGTAAGTAGCTGGTAGATAGGCTGGTAGACTTGTGTGAGAGACAGGAGGAGCCAGCTGAAAAACACAAGAAAAAGGGATACACAGCCCAATGACACCAAGTATCTAATTAAGGGGTTCACGCACATAATTCCGTGATGCCTAAAGTTTCTTGGGGGTTGGAATTTGTCAACGTGTTGTTCCTTGGTTCGTCCACACCCAATTCAAGCTTGTCTCTTTTCTTCTTCATCACTCAACTTTCTTGAACTGAGTTTCTTACACATATTCTCCTCGTCGGGTTGTGCTTCTGATTCTACCTCTGCTTCTTCTACATCTTGTTGCAGTTATTCACTCGTCGCCGACTTTACGCAAACCCATTGTTGAGTATTATCGAGCACCTATACTCCATCTAATTACCGATCACTCCTCCAAAACTCCAAATTCTACAGGGTAGTTGGAAACGGCGGGCAACTCGCATGTCTACACTGCGTATCCCAACGCTGTTAACCTCGGCACAATCGAACCGGATTGAGCTCATCAGCCTACGTCTACGCCCACATACTACGCATCCACGGTCGCGATACCGATCCCGATGGAAGCCGCATCTCGCCTCGCCTTGATGGCCATCGTCACCCGGGCAGGAAGCCCGCAACAGCAGCTACGGCAACATCTACAGCAGCAGCGCGTGCCAAAGCAGCATCAACAGCAGCAACGAGACGAAAAGGCGGCGTGGAAACATCTTCACCATCCGCTGGTAACAGTCGTCGAGTATGACGTTGAAGCGCAGGCGGGTCTGGGTGCAAGAGAAGCAGCAGCAGCAGCAGGGGAGGGGAAGAGAATGTTGGGGAACCTGGGCCACCACCACTACCACCACCAGCAGCGTTCCTCGGGACGGGGACGTCGGGGGAGCGCGGGGAGTTCGAGCTCGCGGTCGAGTGACGGGGAGAACGGTGCGATGGCTGCGCGAGGTGGATTGGAGGCCGTTGCGTGGTGGATTCTGATGGGGTTGGAGTTGTGTGTCGTTGGCGGCGTTGAGGGCTGGATCATTTACATGGTCTACAATGCCGGCGGTGATTTTGCGATTTGGAACTGGTGAGTATTCTCTCTTCTTCTTTTTCTCCATTCTCATTCTCCCCACGAAGCATCGAGTATCATTCGGGGAGCATCGAGTACATGTCACCCAGGGAGGGTTGGATCTCGATGGAGTCTTGATCTCGTGTCATACAAACAAATCAGGCATAGCTAACGATGACGGCACCCGCAGGTTATCCCAGTTCGCGTCGCCTGCCCTGATGATCCTCCTCAGCGTCTCCCTCTCGGCGGCCCTGCTACGCGGGGTCGGCTGTCTGAACAGGCTTGGGGATTTGGGGTTCCAGGCGGCCGGTCTGGTGCTGGCCACGTTTTGCGCCGTCGTAGTGTGCGCTGGTGTGAGTGGTGTTGAGGAGGGGCAGGGGGATAACGGCGACAGGTTGGAGAAGAAGGGGGTGCGGGTCGTCGTCGGGTTGGCTGTCAAGATGTGGTGAGTAATTCGTTGCCCTTTTTTTTTGTCTTTCTTTTTTTTTCTTTTTCTGTCATTCTCTTATCCCATCACGTGTTGCTTTACGACAATATCTCTGGCTGGTCCGGATCAGTCCGTTGGGAGAAAAGGGATACCTACATGTAGGGATGCATGTAGTTTTGGCCTTGGCTTGGCTCAACACCAGAACCGACATGATGGACTAACGAATTGGGTTTCGCTAGGTTCCTCTTCTTCATTGGCTTCCTGTGTGCCGTGTTCCAGTGGTACAGCGAAGACCGGCAGAGGACAACAACATCTACGACGAACCAGACGCCGCTACTACCAAAGAAGGGGAAGAAGAAGGAGAGGGGCTACGGCACTACCACGGGCGGATTGGCGACCGTCGACGAGACGGTTGAGGGGTTTGTGAGCGACCTATGAGAGGAGCGCGGATGGTCTTCTCCCCTTTTTGCCATTACTGATGATGAATTCTTTTTTCACGAAGAGCATATGCATGATGAGCGCGCGCTCGCGCGCCTACACTACAACTGAGTTCCGCGACATTCCGATACCCCCTTTTTACCCGGTTCCTTTTCATCCGGCCGTGGTACTTCTGCTTTAGCCTACGAGCGGCAACTGCTGTCGTCCTAGATACTGCAATTCTACTGTACTAGAATAGCCTTTTCTTTCGTGTCACTGTCATATATAGCTAGCCTTTTTCTTTGTCAACCTGGTGAGATGAGATTACTCGTATCCATCTTACTGGCTGCTTCGCCGGTTACCTCTGCTCGGCATCAATTGATGTAGGACAGATTATCCCACCCGAATGATAGCTACCTTATGCTGCCGTGATTCGATCGCGTTTGATGCCACGACACATTTACATGTGATAGCTAGCCATGCGACAGCCAGCCAGCTCGTCGGTACCAGCGATTGCACTGCATGCGCATCTATACCAATGAGTATAGTAAGCTCACATCTATGTGGCGCGTTGGTACTGGACCACACTCTTTCGCCGATTTTGGCTTTAGTGATGATTGAGGCTCTCGGAAACTTGATACCTGGGCATCGCTGCTCCTTGGGGAGACGAAACGGCAACTTTGAGTTTAATCGGACGGCAGGGCTCGATTTCGCCGCCGGCGCTTCAAGGGCGATGGAAATAATACTTTTACTGTGTTTCTCGTTTCGTCGGGTTGTATTCCGCCTGCCGAACTCGGTAGTGTTTTCATCATCTCATGATAGCTTTATGGGTCTACGGATTGCTGCCTCTCTGCTCATGAAGCCGTCCATGAAGGTTGCTCGCTCTCCTTCTTGGCTTTTAGTAGACTGCAGTTTGCGGTATCGGTTGAATTAGTTTCCCGAGTCGGCTTCCAAGTTGTCAGTCGCGGACCAGCAGGTGGTGGTTCGGCAGAGCATTACTGGTTATCGAGTTTAATCTCGTCTGATGATGTTGCCCAAACAATCAAGACGACGTGAGCAACGACCAGCCCCTGACCTTAACGCTACCCCTCTTCGAAACAACGACGTTGATCCTGCCGACTTCAGAAATATGCTCCCCGCGTTAGATAGTCAGTTTAGGGCAAACTTGTCTCCTCCTGACCAGCTCCATCGCATACAGCATGTTGATCTCACTGTCCGTCTCGTTCCCATGGGCCGTCCTGGTCACCGTGGTATGACTCATTGTGCGTGTATCTGGAATACAACGACTAACACTCTCTCGATAGGCATGGGCCTTTGGCCAAGACGCCCCAAGCCCCGGCGCGCCCATCCCGGGCTACGGCATCTTCATCCCACGATGGGAAGTCCCTTCGCCCGACGGCAGCGGCAAGACGCTCTCCTTTCGAGGCACGGTCGAAGAAGTAGCGACCCAGATGCGCGACATGCACCCGAGCTTCGACATTGACGACGAGTTTGGCAAGATTGCCATGCCGGCTATCGGGAAGCGGACCACCTTTGAGGATAATGACCAAACACTGTGCCACAACTTCAGGGAAGGCAATAGAACGGCTGCACATGTCAGTATCGATGAACTGAGGACCGTTCAGGGGAAGCCTGAGAACGGGGCCGGGCCTGCGAACTGCGGACGGGTTAGTTGTCGGAACGGCACCGCTATCTGGTGGTGCAATGATGTGAGTATCTTGCTTTCCCCTTCTTTGAGGACCTTGTTAGGGTTGGCCTAGCATGATGAAGTGTCTGATACGTTTGTTCGATGCAGGCCAAGAGCACCAAGCAGATAGATTCGTTTGGCGACATTGCCGACGGCGCTCAGCGCGTCTTGTCAAAGTGCAAGGACAAGCTGGATGCCAATCAAGGGCAAGGTATGACTGTCAGCGGTCAGGCTTTCCACAAGGATAGTTGGAATGTTGTTGTCCGAGGCGGAGACAACTGCGATGATGCAGGTGTTATGATGAATCCCAAAGGCTCTCGGAGGCTTTCCAAGGCGTAAGCGCCTTGAAAACAGCCGCAGTGTGTGACGTTAGGAGAATATGGGTGTGGCGAATCAAGGACTCCGAGCTGCGGCATATGAGTTACGGACATCGAGAGTTGTAGATTGCCAAGACGAGAGACAGAGTGGCCAAGAGAATGGATTTTCATAAACTCGTCATGTCAAGTCATGTTCAATATCTTTTGATGCTCTGAAGAACCCAGTCCTCTCCGTCTCTCCGTAGCCCTCCGGTAATACCTGATGCCCTCAGGTGCGGTAGCCTGCTATCCTTGTTGGGTGTTTCCTCGACATGATCCCCTAGTAGCACACTCTTCTCATCTGGGTGCACTGCCAAGAGTGCCGGGAGAGGCGAGCCCTTGACAATCTCAATGTCTAGACTAGCAGTCTCCACCATGATGATGGCCAAGGTCAGAATCGAGAGTCCGACCTGAGCCGCCAGTAGCGTCAACCAAGGCCACCGGATCGAGACGAATCTCTCCTCCTGCCACGCAGTCCCGCTGACGTTACTGACCAAGAGACTTCACGGCGTCAGCTCGTATTCATGTACGCTCAACAGAAACGCAAGATTCCCCGAGTACTTACGCATTCGTGAGGCCACTGGCAACGTTCTCAGTAAGGTTGCGAAGCGTTATAAACAGGGCGTCATCCAGCTTCTGAGACTCGGTTGTCTCATTGATACCGATTGCAGCTCGCGATAAAGCTGTCCCATAGATTTGGGTCCCGTTCTGAAACATGTATGTACCACCGTCAATGTAGGTCCCCGATAGAGTCGAGTCGAGAATGGCAGCAATCTCAGCAGGTCCCATCCCGTCGGCCACATACTTCTTGCCCGGGTTGTCTGGAGATGTCAAGTATGTCACGTTGCTAGTCATGTTATAAGTCTCCACAAGCACCTCTCCCGTCTGCGGATTCGTGTAGGAAGCGACCTTTTGCGTGACGGGGAGGTTGTCCTGAACTGTGACCCTGTATGTGTTCACACACCAGTGCAGCATGATCTCAGTGGCTCGTAGCCGGGGACCGTTAATCACGAAGAAGTTCCATATCTTGGCTCCCATGGCGTCGGTACCGTTGAATGCTAGACTCGGGCCGCTGGAGATGTTCAAATTGCCATATCCATAGCTTCTCTGTAACTTCAAGCCGTTAGGAAGCGTGGAGTTCGTGCCCATTTCGATGGGGTCTCCATCAGTCTCGAGAAGGTCTGTGACATCTGAAAGAAGTTAGTTTACGAACAAGGGGAAAAGTAGTGTGGCGATGCTCCTACTCTTCATGTCAACGCATACGGCAAGTGAGGTGAAGTCGTCCCAGGTGCAGTTGTTCGATCGGCAACTAGCTTGATAATATGGCATTACCTCGTTAGGTGGGGTGTAAAGACTTCGAGGAATAATCTGGTTGATCGGGAACATGATATCTCCTGCTAAAAGGTCAACTTTGAAAATACATGTATCAATTGGGCTAGATGACGAACTTCGAGAAGGTCCGTTGGCAGTCGCCCAGAAGTACTCATTGTTCCTTCGTGTAAGCGCGGTCTCGTTTCCGGGAATCGCAACCTGACGAGTAGGGTAAGTGACAACGGATTGTGTCAGCGTTGAGGTCGCAATCCCAGAAACCAGTATGACAGCCGAGAGAATTCCAACTAGCCTGTACCATCTCGCCTAATTAGTGCTCTACTATCGAATCACACCTGCTTAGCTTAAGGTGAATCACATACCGGCCCTTCGTCCTGAGCAGCAGCTTCAAGCTGCCCCACGGCCCGCGACTGGCCTCGTCAAAGACCGCAAAATCGCCCAATGGCCTCGGCGACTTGTACCAGTTCCATTTGTACTGCGATAGACTTTCGACGACTGGGAGAACGAACGACGTGCGACAGAATGTAGAGATGAAGGCCACGACGGCGTTGAGCGTCAGACCAAGGGGCCAGTTCGGCAGTGGCTGGTTGTCGTACGACCTCAGCACCGAGATGAGAACAATGATGCATACAACGCTGATCAAGCACCATATGATTTCTGGCCACCACCCTTTCAGGATCTGCCATCGACGTCGCGGAGACCGCCTTGTGTTGTTCCTCGTCTTCTCGGCGCTCGATGTCTTCACCAGCTCGTATTCCGTCTCGCCGCTCGCAAAGGTTGACTTGGAGGGTAGATCTTTTCCAATCTCCGTGCTTCGCGGTTCGTCGGAAGGGCGTGCCGTGGACTCAAGCTCCTGTTCCCAATCGTATACGTGGGTATGCGCAGATGAGAGCAGCAGGGCCTCGTCGTACCCAAGCGGCGGAACGTACGAGGGGACTGGTTTCCGCCGTACTTGACGCGTCTCGTCATCCTGCCCTCTTGAATCCATCACGAAGGTTTGCCTGCCGCTGTGCCGCTGTCACGCATGCGAAATGTGGGCGTCTCGGGTGTTGTCCTGCGAGCTTATCGGTGTACCAAGATCGAGCTCCTCAGCCTCTCCGTAAAGTTCCATGTTCCGGGGCGGTCTCTTCCCTTTTTTAGATCCGGAAGCCCATGAAAATGCTCGCATTGTCACCGCCACGAAGGGGCGCCTAAGTGTGAATTTGTGTCATAAGCACTACCCCAAGTTGGCGTAGATCACCCAAGCACGGTTTGATCATTCACGCTGCGAAACATCTTTAAAGTAGCTGCCTGGGCAAGCTGAAAGGCTAGGTCTTACCCGCCACTCGCTAAGAAATAGCCCGACTAGCGCGGGATTTAGGCCATTTGGAGCTGGCTCTTTGGCACTGAAAGCTTACGTTGCTTATTCTTTTCTTTCTGTGAGTCTGTCGGGCCATCAATGTTTGTGGAACAGTAGCACTGTTAACTTGCGAGCTACTCTAATGACAGAGAAAGCCCCTCATTCGGACGAAGAGCAGCAACATCGAGTTTGATGAAAAATTATCCTGCCTCCCCGCCTTCAATTAGCCCATTTCCAAGCCAAACCTTGCGAGATCTATGCGAACTTGACGCCGTTCTTTAGCGTCCCGATATTGGTGATAGTGACTTCCATCTTATTTCCAGGAGCAAGCCATTTTGGGGGCTTGAAACCCGCGCCAACGCCTTTCCATGCCCTTCAGTCAGTACAAGGAACGATCAACGGGTGGGTGCTGGAATCTTACCTCCTGGTGTACCCGTCATAATGACCGAGCCCTTCTGCAGTGTAGTCCCAGAGGATAGATAGGAAATAATGTAGGCACAATCGAACAGAAGATCATCAACGCCCTCAGTTTGCCTCACTTCGCCATCAACCTTTGTCTCAAGGTGAAGCGATTTGGGGTCCCCAACAAGATCAGGTCGAACGAGACAGGGTCCCAAAGGTGCAAACGTGTCAAATCCCTTGGAGAACCCCCACTGTGGCACGTTCCCTGCAAACGCAGCATCACGTTGGAGTTTCCTTGATGAGATGTCGTTGCCACAAGTGTACGCAGCAACATAATTCAGCGCATCTGACACAGATACATCCTTGGCGTCTTTTCCGATAACAAGACATAACTCGCCTTCGTAGTCGGCCTGGTCATCCTGGCAGATCTTGGGAATGATTACATCTGCGTCATGGTCCAGAACAGTTGTGTTGGGTTTGAAAAAGATGAAAGGGAACGGCGGCGGCTTGCGGCCGGCCTCTCTGACTGAGAACGTGGTTAGTATCTAGCTTATCATGCAGTGCGTTTGACTTACTGTGCGTTGCATAGTTCAGCCCTACACATCGGAGAATAGGCACATCCTCTTGCGCTAAAGGGCCGAGAAGCTTCTTCACTACAACAACCTCATCGGTGACCTTGGTCTTCCCTGAGGTGTCATATATGTCAGAGCCCTCGATAACTCTTGCCTTCAAACTTGTCTCCTCGGTAGTGTTTCCCAGGTCGAATCCCTCATGAGGGAGGATGGGCTCTCCTCGGAGGATTCGCCCATCGCTTGCAGCAAAACGAATGAGTCTCTGCCACGATACCGACATTATGGTGGTTTGGCGAGTAGACAACGTGAGTAAAGGTAGTGTAGAAGTACTTTAGGAAACCTTGTCAATGTATGAACTGAATATCATCTCGCTTTTGTCACCACGATATCACGCCACCCCGCAGGCCCTTCGACTGTTGGCAGTGATGACTGCCGTCACACAAGCCGCTTGATAACGGCATGGAATCGGGGATAGTGACATCTCCCCGCTAAGAGATACACATCGCAGGCCGTCCAAAGTGACCTTGGGATAATGCATCCGACTTGCGGGACGATTCCGACGACCTCTCGACAGGGCATCGCTGCAGCGCGGAGGTTGTGGGGGAGTCACTGAATGCGGGGATCCGGGGAGTTAAGGCTTAGTTTACCAGGGGGTTCACGACGCTCAATCCACGGCAATGGGCGCGGGACGCATCCGTTACCTGGTCTTGTGGCCACGAAACAATGAAGGACCTCTTTCATATGAACCACGGGTTTGATCACAAATTCCTAATGAGGTAACACGGTAACGGTTCAAGTTGTAGACGATCTTTCTATCTAGTCTCCGACTCCACATTCCCTCGATTTCAACTTTTTCCAAAATGCCCGCTGCTACCAAAGTAATTCAGCCTGTCTCGCAGGACCTATTCGTTCGGTCTCACAAGTCACAGAACGAGAATGAGCGGACAAAAGGTCACGTCGGCGATGAGTTGCACAGTAAACAGCATAACGGGCTAGCTGGCCATCGTAAGCCGCTTTCCACGTCTTATCCCTCCAATAGCCTCAACTTTCTTCGAGGCCTGAAATTCGAAAAGGATGGGAAGATATCAGAGAGCAACTCATCAACGCTGATTGCTCTTGATATCCTCATTGTCGGAGCTGGTCTTGGCGGGCTTGCAACCGCAGTTGCTCTGGCGAGAAGTGGCCATCATGTTACTGTCTTGGAACAGGCCGCTCAATTATCAGAGGTAAGCTTGCCTGAAACCCATCCATACGATGTCAATCGGAGCCTCTTGGGCCATCTAACCACTAATTATAGGTTGGCGCCGGCATCCAGATTCCGCCAAACTCCAGCAAGCTCCTTCAAAGATGGGGGGTGATGGATATTATGGCAGAGCAGGCAGTGCGGCCTGACGGCATCTCGTTCCGTCGCTGGGAGAATGGCCATCGTATTGGCTTTACTGATCTTTCTGAAACATTTATCGAGCTCTGCGGGGCACCATACTACGTCGCACACCGTGCTCACCTTCACTCTGCTCTCTATCAGCGGGCCAAGGACCTTGGGGTTGCGGTTCGCTTGGATAGCAGGGTCGCTGGCTATAATCCTCACCTACCAAGTGCGACCTTGGCTAGCGGCGAGACTTTTTCAGCTGATCTCATTGTTGCTGCCGATGGTGAGCACCTCCTCCATGTTATAAGATGCGGTCTTGATCTCGGCTAATATCTCCTTGCGACGTAGGCGTCAAGTCGGTAGCTAGAAATCTGCTTCCCTCCAACCAAGTTGGGGCAACGAACTACACTGGCTTTGCAGTCTACCGAGCCACAGTAGATGTCAGTAAGATGAGAAGGATTCCAGAAATTGCCTGGATCCTTGAGAAGCCTGGATTGCACGTCTGGTGAGTTCATATACGATCAAGTATGTCAGAGATGGCGGTCTAACATGCTCCATAGGATTGGCGAAGATCGTCACGTCATGACTTACACTATTGCTGCCGGCGAATCCTTCAACATGGTGCTCTCTCACAGGGACTCGAGGGATCCTTCAACGTGGGAACAAAAGACTCAAGCCGAAATTCTGGGAGAGATGAGAGCAGAATTCCGGGGTTGGGACTCACAGTATAATCCCAGTGCCCGTTTGTTTTCAAAACGTATTTGCTCAACTTGTTGACATATCGTAGGCTCACCAAGATCATCGAACTGATTGACACCACAATCAAGTGGCCCTTGATGGCTGGCGTCCCTTTGGATAATTGGGTCGCGGATTCCGAGCGTCTTGTTATCCTCGGCGATGCAGCCCATGCAATGCTCCCCTACATGTCGCAGGGGGCAGCCATGGCGGTTGAAGACGGTGCCGCTCTGGCTGTGGCCCTCAACAATATTCAGAATCGTGAACAGCTCGGTCTTGCGCTTCAAGTGTTTCAGGGAGAAAGGAAATCACGCACCTCAATGATGCAGGAGGCCAGCATGGTGAATGCCCTGCTCTGGCATTTCAAGGATGGCCCCGAACAGAAGGCTCGAGATGAGGCGATGCGTCCCGAAGTTGAGGGTCGCAAGTTTGCGAGCAGCCCAAATCAGTGGTCCGACCCCCTCACTCAATCGTGGGCTTATGGATACGACGCCGAGGATAGGATGTTGGAGAAATGGAAACAGGAGAGTGAGGCGTAAGAATATTGATATCGATATGATTGCAGGTTCCAATAGATTGTGGAAAGATCTAGTCGATTAGCTAGACGGAAAAAGTTTGAGAGTTTAATGTTAGAACCCATTAAGAGGATATGTTACATGGCGTTCCATTTTGCAGACCATCATGGGATACCTCGCAGAAGGTCGTAACAGTTAAGATAGTGGATGACAAGCTGTTCGTTGAATTGGTCCAAGGAGATTGTAGTCCATATCTGTATCGACGAAATTTAGATGCAAGATGTATTCTCGAAGCATGCCTCGTAAACCCTCCACTAAGATAACTTTCCGTCATGAGCAAAGACTCTTATTCAGCCCTGAAAAATTATAAGTTGGGCAGCTTCGATTAAACAACAACAGTTCTCTTATTCCTACATGTAGTGACCGAAATCTAGTGTCTAGCGCCTACCAAAATAAGTCCCCTGTAGCAAAATCATCCATCAACTCAGACATGGAGAAGTTTGCACCAGTGTTGGGGAAATCGTTGAAGTTGGGTGGGAGATAGTTCATCAGGTTAGAAAAGGCGTCATCCATTCCGCTATTCGCCGATATATGCGTGCTTTGCGCGTTCTCACCTCCATTCGAGGGAATTGCGTGGCTTGGCCTCATCCCTCCCATTTCACGAGCGATATCGTCCCCACCCGGAGCTTTGCTGAGGTTAGTCTCTGTAGGAATATATTGTAAACAAATTCGATCACGTACTCATTTGCAAACTTTGAATCATGAAGATCAAGGTCGCGGTGAACTTTGCGCAATTCTCTACCATGGGGTTCTGGATATCCAATCGCGCAATGCAACTGACTGCACTCTTTAGAATATCGTCAAGCCGTATAGCGGTATTTGTATATCCTTGATCAAAAGGCATAGACCCATAGCTATCTTCGACCAGCTTTGTCGCAACAATAGTCAAAGAGGCATTGAAGGCTTTTGTGAGATTAGCTGGCGTCCTTCCAGGTAGCAGGCCAAACTTACTGAAGTACAGGCTAAACCACCATGCTCCAAGGAATGAAACGGTAGGCTGGACATCATTCGCAAGTTTGCAGGCTTCAACTAAGCGAATGATAGCTTCCGCCGACCGCAGGCATACTGTTCTACTAAGATGCCACGCCTGTTGCAGCGTGGCTGCTTCCTGGAGAGACTGAGAGCTTCCATCGAATGATTGTAGACAGCGGTCTAGTATTGGGCGATGTGACAGGAGTTGCAAATTATGATACCGAAGTGTCAGTATCACTCGGAACTTCAGCAACATCAACTTCCCCTCAGGGCTGGCGACTTCACTCGGCTCTACAAGTTGCATCGATAGAGGTAAAGATGCCTGCCAATCAGCCAATTTCTGTCCAATCTGTATCACACTAGCCACGGTGTTTGTTAACGGAATGGCAGATATTGACCCGATATTGCTTTCGTATAGATCGTCAATCACGGCGGCGGTCACACCGTAAAGCGTGCTAGGTAGACGGTTATTAGTCAACATTAGGCAAGGGGAGGCTTTGTGGTAGTCAAACATTGATGCGTTCCAAAACATAGTGCTCTCTTCCTCGTTAGACCATCTCGAGATATCGGAAGTTCTTTGATGGGAAATGAAATGTCTTGGCAACGGTGTTCGAATATAGTTTTGCGGAACAATGGGCGGCCGGCCGAAGGTCATACTCAGTGTTCTATATCCCGATAGTGATCTTGTTAGACATAGTTCCTTCGACGGGCTTCTAGATCCACCGAATATGCTACTTGCCTATCGAGTACGACACATCCATACCAAGTGCGTATTCTTATTTCTCTCTCGAGTGGTTCGAATCTTTGAAGAGCCAATTCGGAATGAAACCCTAACTCGAGTGCAGCTTTCACAGCGAGCCCGTGTATTGCCCATGTCTGTATAGACCGTTGGCTGCCTTGAAGGTACTGTGACATCAGGAGCATGGCCTGGACTTGAGAGATTTGAGGTCAGCTAAAGGAACTAGCACGTACTAGGAAGATATAGCAGATACTGAAGATGGAAGGGAAGGGACTGCAGCAGTACCTGCTTCTACGTTGGCCCCTGTCATCATCTCAGTCATAGAGAGGGCTTTGGCGCGCCGGTAATGAACCTCTGAAATTGCCTGTCGATCGCTCAAACCGACACCTGTAGCGTTCATGGTACTCGTTGCCATGGCCAAAACCATGTGCAATAGTGCAAGCCAAGCGGTTTTCGCATTTTGCATGCCCGTTTCTCGGTACTGAGCGTACGCTTTCCAGAAACTTTCTTCGTGTATATAAGGAAATAGGAGACCTGTGTCACGGAAGAATTGGCGCACAAGATTGATGACCTCTTCTTCGGGTGGCAAACGCAATGCCTCGGATGGCTTTTTGAGTTTCCTTGAGTCGAAGGAATCAGTGACTGGTAACTGAGATCTCGAGACAGCCAGGATGTGTTGTTGTGCATGTTTTATAGGTGTCGAGGATGCATCTCCGCGCTCATCTTTTTAGGTCTTATTCTATTAGATTAAAAGTCTAATTCGACCGCAGTATACGGCCAACTGCGCAAGGGCTAATTAGGGGCCCTATTTATAATTATTATAACTAGCCTAACTTATAGTTAGAACCTCCTTTTTATACCTATATAGAAATTTATATAGTTTAATTAATCTCTTTATTAACTTATAGTTCGAACTAACTACTTTATAATAAAAATATTAATACTAATTAATAATTAAATTCTATTATTATAAATTAATAAAGTATTTTAATATATAAAAAAAACGACTTCTTAATACTATATAAGATAAGAAATTCGTATTAATTAATTTTATAAAAGTAAATAAAAAAAAAGGTAATTTTTAAATACTATATAGAATTAAATAATCGTAGCCCTTTATTACTTATAAGAGGTTAATATTTATTATATTAAACTATATTAATTAATAAAACTACTTAAGTAACTAGCCTTTTATCGTCGCTTTAAATAGCTTTTTTATTAAATAACTTTTTTATAACCGGCCCGTAATTAAAAATTAACTAGCTAAATTAGTAAAAACAAATACTTATATAATAACTACTTACCTAATTAATTAGTATAACGGACGAGTTTAATAATATAATATAAAAGAGTATTACGTAATTAAAAAAAGGGATCTTTAAACGTAAATATTTTTAATAAGTATAATAAGAACTTATATAAGAGTTATTAAGTTAAGAGATTTATAGTATATAAAAAGGCCTAATATTACGAGGATTTTATAAATATAATTTTAAAACTTATAATCTAAACGATCTCTTTATAACCCCCTTAACTACTCCCTAAATATTATTTAAAAATATAATATAAAAAACGGTTTAATAAAGAAAAAAGAGATTTAAAAATTTTAATAATATTAAGTTAAAAGTATTACGAATTTTAGAAATTAATTTAAAAAGAAAGTAGCTATTTTAAAATAGTTTTATAACCTTTTATTAAAATTATAATTAACTTAAAAAAAGGCTAAGAAAATATAGTTTTAAAAAAAGAAAAAATCCTCTAGAGGGCTATTAAAAAGCTCTTTTTTATATTAAGCTCTTAGTACGAGATTATTAATTTTAAAAAATTAACTAAGTAATAAAAGGGATTATTAATAAGTAATAATTACTTAATAATAATTAAGTTACGAAAAAAACTATTTAAAAAATATAAAATAGGGTACTAAGAAGCTATAAAAAAAAAGATCTCTAAGGTAATTAACCCTACTTAGTATAAATAACAAAATAATAAGTATTTTTAATAAGTCTTTTAAATCCTCGATTTTATAAAAAAAAGAGCTTAACTTTACTAACTATACCTAATAGCTTATTTAGCTCTTAATAACCTATTTAGCTCTTTTATAAGCTACTTAGCGTTTATTTTTAACTATTTTTTTAAAATATTATTTTAAAAAAAGTAAGTTAAAAAAAGAAATAATTTAGAAATTATAAAGAGTACGAGGTTTAAGAAATTAAAAATATAAAAAATAGTGGAAATTAGTAACTAATAAAAATCCTAAGACTAATTATTACGTCTTTTTATAGTAATATAAACATCTATTACTATTATTAAAAAAGGAGTTATTAAAGCTTATTTTTTTATATTAAATAAAAAAGAAGATCTTAATAAGTATAATAACTAGTAATTTAAAAGAGTAATAATAATTACTAAAAATAATAAAAATAAAAATAATAGTAAAATAATAAAAAAAAGTAAGAATTACCTAGACTTTAATAAATTCGTTAAGTAATAAAAGTACGGATTTATTATAATTAATACGTAGATTAAATATATCCTTATTAAAATTAAATATATTAATAATTACTAATACGGGCATAAGCTAGAGTTCGACTCTTAATAAATTAGGATAAAAAAAAAAAAAAAACCCGATCCTAAATAGAATCCTAATCCTTTATAAATAAGTAAATATTAACTTAAATTATTAAGGGACGTAAATATATAAAATCGTAAATTAGTTTAATAATAAGTAAATTAACGTAATATTAATCTATTTAACTAAGGTTTATAAAAAAAAGGGGCTATAGGGGTAACCCCTATTTTATAAAATCGTAAATAACCTTAGTTATTAACTAGATAAATAGTTCGCGAGCGTAAGCCTAGGAATTATAAAAGTAATTAATAAATTCCTTTATAAATAAGAGGTATTACTAATATAATTATAATTATAAGAACTATATAAAATCTTAGTAATAATAATTATAAAAAAGGAATTCGTATTATAAAACTAAGTATAAGTTAATAAAGCGTATAATTACTTTAATAAATTTAAAAAAAGGGTAAATAACCTAAATTTCCTTCTTATAATTACTAATAATAATTTATTATTATAAAAAGATATATAAAAATAAAATATAGTACTAGACGTATAATAATTAATAATTTTACTTATTTCGATCTATAGCTCGTTATTATTATTAATACGAAATTCGGTACTAATTAGTTAATAAGAAAGGAAGTAAACGACCTAAAATTATTAATAATACGTAGTAATATAGGGATCGTATATAAATATTAAAAATATAATAATAAATATAAGGTAATTTATAAATTTTAAAAAGATCTTTTTAAAAAAGAAATTATACTTTAAGGGGAAGTACGAGGTTTTATAAAAAACCCTAATAATATTTTATAATTATTATAAAAAAGTCGGAATTAGGGAATATTAATATTATTTAGTAATTAATATTATATTTATAAGCAAAGCTTTTAATTATTATTACGAAATAATACGTAATTTTAATTAAAACGACTTTTTTAGTATTATTAATATAATTTAAAGCTATTTTAAGACTTATGATAAGAATTTAGAGCTCTTATTTAAGTTATAAGTAATTTTTTTTATATTTATAGTTAGAATAATAAAAAGAAAATTATAAATAAAAATCCTAAAAGAGCTTATTAATCGAATCGATAAGTTAATAAAAACCTAGCTAAATAAGAGGATTAATAAGCGAAAAATTAAATATTTTTATACCGTAGTTTAGCGCGTATTAAAAATAAAAATAACTTTATATTAAGTACTTAAAAACTACGAAACGCTCTATTTAAAACTAAGATTTAGTTTTAATATTAAAATAAAAATACTATACTAAACTTATTTTTAAATATATAATAGCCCTTATTAATAATATTAAATTAATTAAATATATAATAAAAAAAGAAAAAAGACTAGGTATAGTAATTATTAATAAAAAGGCTTAGATTTATTAAATAAGTAAAGATTTAACTTATAAATAGGGTAATAAAAAAATAATATTTTATTTATAAAAAGGATAAATATTAATTAAGTAATTATTCTAAAAAAGAGCGTATTAAATTATATAAATAGTATAAAAAGTCGAGGGTAGTAAATAATAAAACTAGCCTTTATTAATTTAATTAATTCTTTATTATATATAAGAGTAAATCCGGGGGTATAAAGCTTAATAATAATAGTTAAAATAGTAGCTTAGAGTATTTACCCCCCCCAAAAAATTCAGAAAATAAGAAAGATCTCGCCCCCTATATTAATAAATTAGATTATAATAAAATCGATAATATTAATTACTTATTCTTTATACCGTTAGTTTTTAAAAAATATACGAGGCTAAATAAATAAAAAGTAATAAAAGCTCTTAATAAGTAGGCTTTTATTTATAAATAATAAAAAAAAGTCCTTTAAATAACGGATATAAAAGTAAATAAAAGAAAGAATTTAATAATATAGAATTTTATTCTCTTAATATTTAAAAAGAAAATACTACTTTTATTAATATTAAAAAAGAAAAATAGTACTAAGTAATTCTAGAAGTAGCTAAAGGGGTCCTTTTTATATTACTTAGATTATTTAAATACTAAGTTCGTATAGGTATTTTATATAAGTAAAAGGTACGGCCTAGATAATTTCTATAGGATTATCCTAAATACTAAGGTATTATAATAGTTAATAAAAAGAAAAGGGTAATTCTAAATATTATAAAAAATCGCGTTAGTAATACTTAATATATTAATAATAGGTATTATAAAAATTAGTTTTAACTTAGGTAAAGAAATCGTTACCCTAAGTATAATAAAAATAAAAACGTACTTTAAAACGATAACTTTTTATATTTTACTTATTAATACCCTATTTCTTTTATATTTAAAAAATATAAATTAACTAAGTATTATATTTAATAATATAAAGAATAGAATTTTTAATAATAAGTATTTCGAAATAGTTAAACGATAATAAGAGTACGCGTTTATAAAGCTTATTAATAATACGAAGTTAATTAATTACTTAACGGAAAATAAGTTTAAATAATTATATTAAAGATTTAGGTACTTATTAGTTACGAGGCTATATAACTTTTTAAAATAATTAAGTAATAAAAATATCGAAATAGGAGTATTAAAGTAGTTAATAAAAGTATATTATTAATACTAAATAAATACGTAAAACCTATATAAATTTAAATTTAAATTACGTAATAAGCTTAATTTTAATTAGGAAATCGTTAGTAATATTTTTTACTTAAATAGTTAACCGGTTTTATATATAATTAACGAGGCTATATTATTTTAAGTAAGGTAATTCTTTTAAGATTTATAAATAAAAATAGTATAAGTAGCTTTATAAAAAAACTAAATTAATATATATTAGGGACCGCTAGATAGTATTAAAACCGACGTTAATACGAGTTTTAAATTAATAGGATTTAAAAAAAATATAATAGCTTATAGTATATAGCTAAAAATCGTACTTATAAAAGCGTATTATAGTATTAAAAAAGTAAAAAGGGTATATTAGTAACTAAAAAGGGCGTTTAGGATTATTAAAAAGGAAAATCCCAATTTTATTAATAACGAATACCTTTAGATAGTACTTAAATACTATAATAATATTATAGGACCTAACGGTTTTATATTAATATTATTAATATTTAGAGTATATTTAAGGACGACTTTAGCCTTATTATTATTATTAAATATAAACTAACGAGCCCGAGTAATTAAAAAAATAATATAGGTATTACGTAAAGTAAGCGTAAAAAAGTAAGTTAATAAAGTAATTATTATATATAATAAGCTTAATATAGAGGCTAATTTAGATATATTTTTAAATTTAAATATATAAGTTTAGTATAAAATTACTTAATAATAAGCTAGGCTATATAAATTAATTTTTATTAACGAGCGCTCTTATATAATTATAAGAGATCGTAATTAGCTACTTAAAATATTAATTATTATAATTAGATTATATTATATAAATCTTATTAAGGTAATTTTTAGTTTATAAAAAGAAAAGAAGCTAAGGGAAACTATATAATTAGTAGTAAAAGTATAGGAAATTATCCTTAACGAAATCGTTATAATAATATTAATAAATAATAAAGAAGAGGAAATTACTAAAAGGGTACTAATATTACTAATAAGACGTTATAAAAAATTACGATAGTAAGCCCTAATATAGTAATTTATTATTAATAATAAGGTAATTAATACTTTTTATATAATAAAAAAAAAGCCGATTTTAAGCTAGTAATTAAACTACGTAAAGAAAGTATTATTATAATTATTAAAAAGCTATATAAAAGATTAGATCTTATTAAAATAAATACTTTACGTAATTAAGGGGTCTATTAATTTATCTTTTATAACCTCGAAAAATATAAAAATCTCCGTATATTTAAATTATAAATAATATATAAAATTAAGGAAAAAGGAATACCCTAACTATATAAAAAATCTAAGTATATAATTTAGGGGTATAATAATATTAAAAAAATAACGCTACTTACTTAATTATTTATAGTATAGTACTATAGTTAATAATTAATAATAATACTAATAATATTACTATAAAAAAAGGGATACGAAATTTAAAACTATAATATTACTTAGGCTTATACTTAATTAGCTATAAGGCTTATAAAGAAAATCCTAACCTATTTACTAAAAGAAATAGTTAGTAAGTACTTAGAAAGTATAATTATTAAAGTACTTAAACTATTATATAGGCTCGTAAAATTGGGTACTTATTAATAAGCTATATATTACGATTTTTATATTAATTAATTATTAATAATTATATTTACGTACGACCCGTACTTATTAGTTTTTAAATAAGAAAGCGAATAATTTAGAATTATTAGAATATAGACTAACGATATATTAGGCCTATTTAATATTAATTTTATAAAAAAAGAGAATAAGGAACTTTAAAAAGCGGGCTTTATAATAAAACTAAAAGAGGTCCTTATAATAAATAACTTATTAGTATTTAATAATAGAATTTTTATAATTAAAAAGGAAACCGTTATTTTTTAATAAAAGGGGTAAAATAAAAAAATTACCCTTATTAACCCGAACGTAATTAATATTAAAAAGTAATATAAAACTAAGTTTATACGAGGGGTATATATTATAAATATATATTAACCCGAGGTAACTTTTAATTATATTAAAGTAGTATAAGCTATAGAGCTAAACGAACGAGATATTAAAATACTTAATAAGTAGCTTAAGTAATAATAAATAAATTTTAATTAAAGCCTCGTTTATTATTTAATTAACCTTATTATTAATAAACTCTACGTTTTTATTAATAAGTTATTTATAAATAACGACGATTTTATTTTATAATTAGAGTATATTATTATTTTAGTTAATAAGAGTATAAGCGAGAGTAAATTTATTATATATAGTAATATAATTTATTATTTATTAATTAAAAATAAATAAATAATAAGAAGTATCTTAGTATTAAAAGTTTATAATATAGTTAATAACGTTAACCTCGCTTACGTAATTTTAATAACGCTAAAAAAGATTACTAATTAACTTAACTTTTTACTAATCCTAACGGTTATTTATACCAATTCTTACTTACTATATAAATACTTTATTAAATTAAAAACGATAAAAAAAAAGAAGTTTATAATTAATATTATAGCCCTTAAATAATTATATAAAAAACGTAAGATTTTTAAAATACGTTAAATTAATAAGAATAATAACCTCGCTAACGCTTTTACAAAAATAGTACTTAATAAAGGGTTAAAATAATTCGTAAATAATAAAAAAATTAATATATAAATAAAAGGATAAGTTATATAAAAAAAAGAAAAAAAAAAGAAAAAAAAATAACTTAATAAACGGGCCTAAAATTAAATTATATTTTTAATTATAATAAATAAATTAATAAAAAAAAGAGAAAGTTAGTATTAAATTAAAAATCTAATTTAATTATAGTATATAACTAATTACATAGGGGCTAATTAGGGGCCCTATTTATAATTATCGTAGTTAGCTTAACTTATAATTAGAACTTCTTTTTTATATTTATATAAAAATTTATATAGTTTAATTAATCTCTTCGTTAACTTATAGTTTGAACTAACTACCCTATAATAGGGATACTAATATATTTAATAAGTGGTTGAGCGTGCGGCGAATAATTCTCGTGAAGGCAATATTAGATGACGGCCCTGAATGATTGATGATAGAATCAGCAGGTATAAAGGGAACATCGAGGCCCATGGCCGTGAAGCCTAGTTTATTGTGTCATACCGAAATACGCCCAAGACTCGTCTGTGGTAAATTCAATAGTACCAACACCGTCTGTCGCGTCGGGGGTGATCCCCTGCGTGACGCTTCCATCCTCAACATTCAGTGACTCCTCGGGGTAGTTGACTTCCGAAATGTCGTCGGTACGGCCAGAAACACTACGTGGAAAGAGGACGTGTTGCTTTCCTTGTAGAAACGAGGCGGGTATAAGTCTTTTCAGCCGACTGATTTCTTCTTCGACATCGGCTAAGCGGTGTTCAACTTGTTCGAGATATCTATTCACAGAGTAAGATAAGTCTTGAAAGACTCTGCATAAAGGTCCACTAAACATACTGTTTCGGTACCAGCGCATTGCTCCCACCAGAGTTGGCTGCGTAGATACATTCGATACCTTGTTCGACGCAAGCGGAGCACTGAGGCCTAACACCATCACACTTTCGAGAGTGTATTCTGATTAGTCTTCTTGGACAGCCAGTGGCACCTGCTGGGCGGAAAAATCCCGTTCAGGCAAAAACTGCCAAAACTGGCTCCCACCAGCGTGGTAGTCCGAGAATGTCGCACTCACCCTCGACTTCCGAGCACGGCAGGAGCTGCAAGCAATCGGGATACGCTTCCGCTTCCGAGTCGACGCGCCTGTTGGCCCGGGAGTGCTGTTCTCCATTTCCCGAGGAAAGTCTTCATACAGCTTACAAGTTGTGCGGCACGATAGGGCAGAGACTGGTAGAGGCGGGGATTTAGAGAGAAAGATGATCAAGTCCCCGGTGTAGTTGAAAGGGGAGGGCGGGGAGTTAGGGAAGGGCACCGAACTCTAAGTGCTGTACGCCTAACGCAGAGAGGCTGTGCTACGACAAATCGCGTACGGTTAGCGTTGTGGTTGGTGTCTTTGCTGAGCCTCCGACCATGCTCTTTCGGCCAACAGCTTAAATCCCCGAGCACACCTGTGTTCGCTTTGTAACTCACCGTCACGTCGACAGTATTGACGAAACGCGGTTGGTCTTCATACGGGATGAGAGTTCGGCAAACACCCGGAAATCATGTGTTTTTGATCAAGTCATAAACACATCTCGTCAACACTGAAATGTCGCTACTGTATCTAAGCATCATTCAAGAAGAGTAAAAGTAGTCAATCAATACCTTACCACTTCACTCGAGCAACTCAACGTCGTATCATCCTGACAATCCGAGAACTAGCCATGTCTTCAACGTCCGTCACAGAAACTTCGCACCAAGCCGAGCCGGCTGAAGACCACACCGCAACGATGTTGCGCGCCGCCGAGGCCAACCACACAAAGCCTTTGTGGCTGCAAATGACCAAACTAAACCCCCCTCTGCCCAATCCACGGTGCACACCCCATCTTTGGAAGTATTCTGAAATTCAACCCACTCTCTTGCAAGCGGGTCAGCTTGTTACCGAAAAGCAAGCTGAGCGTCGGGTGCTTATGCTCGTCAACCCTTCCAGAGGTACGCAGCCTGCACCGATGGAGCTTCAGATCTGTTATTACTTCTAATCATTAGATCTGTTCCTGACTCAGAACCCCAGATGCTCCATTCACGACTGACACTCTTTACGCTGGGCTGCAACTGGTCATGCCCAATGAGACGGCACCGGCGCATCGGCACACGGCTTTTGCTATGCGCTTCATCATTGAGGGCAATGGCGGCTTCACTGCCGTTCATGGAAAGCGCATCCAGATGAACCGGGGAGATGTAATCTTGACCCCCACTTGGAATTGGCATGACCATGGAAAGGATGGGTCTGGCCCGATGATCTGGCTTGACGGCTTAGATTTGCCCAACTTTACCCACTTCCCTGTTCATTTCGTCGAGCATTTCTCATCTCCACGATACCCAGCAGACAATGTTGATACATCCCAGTCGCCCATTGTCTTCCCATGGAGTCGGATGAAAGCAGCACTTGACGCCGAGGAAGGACAATATGCTACACAAAGTTATCTCCGTGCAGATGGATCTGAAGGTACTTAATTCCCGTTCTGCCTCATTATAATTATTGGAACTTGGACTGACTTGTGCAACGCTCCAGTCAGCAAGGTTTTAGGTGGTCGTGCAGCCCGCTTGACCTCCGGTGCCAAGTCCTCTCTGGTTCAGGAGACCGCATCATCTGTTTATCATGTTGTCGAGGGATCTGGGCGCTCTCGTATCGGTGATACAGAACTTGTTTGGAACAAGGGTGATACCTTCTGCATTCCATCCTGGTATCCTTACCAGCATTTCGCGGACGAGGGTCTGAAGACAGATGTATACCTGTACCGTTTTGATGACATGCCTATGCTGAAAAGTCTGGGATTCTACCGCTCAGCTGACATGGATGTGGAACGTCTCGTGTCGAAGTGAACGATTGTACGCTGGACCATTCACGTGTAGACTAAGTAGGCAAACTGAATGAAACATCTGTTACTGCGGCAAGTGTACTTACCTAGAATTCGGGGTCTAGGACAGAGTTTGAAAACTTACAGACGGTTGATTCTTCGCGCCGGAGCATGATTCAGGTACCGTCGCTTGGTGCAAGTGTTTTGTGACAATCATTGATAATGTTAAATCACTCCAAGATATCGTCCATCTCAATTGAATATAAAACTTTCGAACTCATTATGGATTCTTAATTGTAACAGGGCTCTAGTAGTCGAGAGCCCGAATGTTCTTATTTGCTGCCAGAGAAGAATGATAGACGGGATTCGTACGCTGGCGTTTCTACACCAACTGCACTACCCCTGTCCCGTCTAAGACTACCCTCTCAGTCTAAGCGAGAAATGCAGTCTTACGAATGACTGTTTCACTGAAGAAGTAGAGGGGGATCACTAACAAGTACACCGCCCAGAGAATTCCCGCCATCGTACCAAACTGAGCGACGGGTCCCGCCTGTGCCATCCAGCTTGTGGCCGCGTAAGAAACTCCGAAGCCGACAGAGTTCTTGATCAAATTCACCAGCACTCCGATGTGGCTTGCTCTAGGTGGCATGGTGTCAACAGCGTACGTCAGTAACACATTCGCCGAGCAAGTCAGACCTGTGGCAAGCATGCCATAGCCAACGCTGACTTGCGCCCACTTCTCCGGTGATGCAAGACCGTACCCAATGACCAAACATCCAGCTGGGCTGATTAGACCTCCGATAATCACAGCAGGCAATCTCGAAGCTGGATCTTGTTTTCCACCATTGCGACGTGTATCTCGGTTGAATAGGTAATCAGCCAATGCGCCTCCGATCGGAAGACCAATCAGAAGACCGACCAATGGGCCAACACTAAGCAGACCGACATCTCGGGCACCCCAGAGTAGGGGCGGGGGACTGTATACCACCGAGAGCAAGATAGATACCAGAACGGTCCAGCCAATGGTGAGACCAAAGACCAAAGTTGTGACAATAACCTGGGGCGCGCCTAGAAGTTCAAGAGGCTGGAAGAGGCTTGAGGCGGCGAGCTTCCAGTCCATGTCGACATATGCTGTTGAGAAAGAGCGCAGTCTCCATTGTTTTCCGAGTTCTCTGGGCCCTGCAAAGCCTTGCTGGTTGGCGTTTTCAACTTCGGCGTAGGTAGGGCTCAAGGGCAGACCTTTGGGGTTATCTTCAGTAATAACGGGGTTGAGCTCAACTTCAGCCGTCTTTGGCGAGTCCGCGCGTGTTTCCGGGAGCATGATCAGTGATCCGACAAACGTGATGAAGATCAGGGCCGAGAGGATACGGAAGTACCATCTCCAATCTCCAGTACCATCCGCGACAAGACCGGAAATGATCGGTCCGACAGATGAGCCCGCAGCAAGGAGTCCAACGTAGACAACCATTGCGCTTGCTAATTGCTTGTTTGGGAATGCCTCTTCTACGAAGCTGGGCCCCAATGCCTCAACAAGCCCGCCAGCGAGCCCGCCGAGAATCCTTGAAGTTCGCAGGTTATTGAATGTTGTTGCTTCCCCTGACCAAAGGCAGAAGACAAAGAACATGACGAGCGATATTAGAATCGTGTATCGTTTACCAATGAGAGATGCGGCAGGGAGGGCGAAGATGTTCTAGAGTTGAAGGTCAGTTAGTTCGTGTCTCTCAAGAAACATATATCAAAACGGTGAATGTTCTCATTTTAAATCAGGCTTACCGAGAGGCCAAGAGTCAAAAGCACATAGGTAGAGAGCTGGGAGGCCTCTTCCGAAGTGCAATGAAGCTCTGCAATAATGCGCGAAAACAGCGGAGGAGCGCCTGCAGCAAAGGCATTTCCCAAAAGGTTGTAGAAGCTAACGTTCAGGAGAATCCAGATTCTCCTCGAAAGTGGCCATCCCTATCGAGTAGTTAGAGATTAGTCTTCAAAGCCTATGACATTGTGACATCCTTGAACTTGAGGACACCGGCAACACTTACCAAGACGCTCGACTGCATCGCGGAATCATTCGATGTCGACATGTCTGCTGATTTTGGACGTACGATATGAGTTGATTTTTCAAAGTCTAGTTCGATAATCTAGACAAATGCATATATGGGTTTTCGCAATTTCCGCTCAATACCGGCTCCGCCTTGTCCTATCTACTCCAGCCCACCCCTTTACAGATCACGTCTTTCATTACAAGACCAACTTTACCAACGCGTAGCGTGCCATTGGTCTAGCGAGTCATTCGGGGAGATAAACCTAAGGGTATGCGTCCGCGGAGAACTGTCATAACCCCGGATACTACCCCGCATCCGCAGCGGCCCGCGTCCATATTGGAGACCGGGTGACGATGGTCTGCTTCCGTGATCTCGGGGTCAAGCGGGGGAAGCGGGTCTTGTTAGAGACTCGCCGCGCGCAGTATGAAGCATATATCAAGGACTGACGTTGACTCAGGCTAAGCATTGCGACACAGCCGTGTCTGGCACGTCAGCCGATCGAGTCAGTTGGTCGCTCGTAAGCAAATCCAAACACCACCAAGGCTATGCTGAGCGATGGCACGCTACCAGGAAGCTTGTTAACTATGCATCAGTAATAAGTACATTAATCTAAGATCTCATCGTCATGCTTTGCTGGAACACGAGCCTGACAAGTATCATGATCTCCTATCCCCGCGATGAAGCGGAGTCACAATATCAACATGGCTTGGTTGCAGTATTGAGGTGCTCCTACATTGTGAAGCCTGGAGTCTCAATGGAACCTACCTGTACGTAGCCTGGAACTTCTTTATTCATCCTTTTCCAATCCATCAGCCCCCATCAGAAAGCGGTAAGTAAAAGGGCATCTTAAAGTCAAGATAAATTTATTGAGTCGAATTGGTCGAGGATTCCTAGTAATTGAGGACAAATCGACAATATTGCCAAAGTTAGACGCTTCTAGCCGCCAAATGGGTTCTGTTCCCTCTTCACTGAGAACTTGGTCCTTTAACTTATCATGATATGGCAAAGAGAAAGTTAGGCAACGAATTGGGGTTCATCGCAGAGGAAGCGATGTGAGGTATGACATAAGGATTCAGGTAGCAGTTCCCGAATGGCTTCAAGCTTGAATGCATGAGTTGACGCTTCTGTGGCTCAACGTACCTCTCTTCAATGATTGTAATTCAAACGGACTTCAACCATGTTCAATGATATCTTGTCTAATGTCTTTTACACACCATCAGGTTCTTCCTAGAGTCAAGGAACAGACCGGCTGTTATGTTGAGTATTCTGAGACTTTATGAGGCATCACATGGTGAGCTAGCAGGCTTGGTAGGGAAAGCTGCTGTGGAGAATATGGAGACTCTGATAGAGAGTATCGAGGATTGGGTGTTAGAAATCTGGTAGTTCGATGGTAATTATGAGTGGTGAAATATGAATGATGGCAGTTTTTCTTGTATCACAATGGGACCAGTTGAGTGTGAGGATTGAAAAGGTTCTGCTACAGTATGTCCTGCATTTGTTCTCATACAAGAGGCATCTCCCGCCAGGAAGACGCTTCCTTATTTCCTCAGCTGTCCCTAGATGTCCAAGGGCTGAAAGTTTGATCATGAGCATCATGAACTTCATCGGAACAGCCTGCCACTTTTGAAATTCTTACGGCTGCTCTAGGCGAGCAGCTTTTCGAGTCTCACACAAGTTGCAGGTCATCCCGAGGAACGCCATGAATGCAGCCAATCAAGTGATGAACGGTCCAAGGCCTTTCCTGGGGTTCTGGGGAAAGTCCAGCTCAAAGCGCCAACGCTAGCCGTGATAACGAAATTTGCAATCATTTATGCAATTTGAGTTTTCGTTACGTTTCCTTTCCGCTAAGGTAGAAAATAGCCGGGGGTCCTCTTTCGGGGTTTATCTCGGCTAACCGCTAACGTTAAGAAGAAGCGGGAGCTAGCACGACCGAAGCGGGGCCCGACCGTGTACGTTGAGCGGTGCCGAGATGTGGGGCTCCGGAGGCCACGACTCGGTATCGTGACCGTGTACGTTAGGAAGAGCCGGGTCGGAGTCAAAGAAATGCGCCGGACAAGAAAACTTTGCTGCCGCTAGTTCTCGGGGCCTGGACTGAATCAAGAAGACTATGTCCGTTCTTACGCTGGCCAATTTGGTGTATAAGTAACCACCTTCCCCTCTTTCTTGGATGAATTTGGGGTTTCTTCCTATCTCATCCGTCTGATCTTTGCCTTTCAAATAGTTGATATCAACCTCAACATTATATGTGCCATAAAAGTATATCAATTTCACATACTCCTCTTTTGTACCATCTACTCAAGACCACGATGTGGTCTGCGGCCTCCACGATGCCTCTCGAGATCAAGATTGACGATCACTACTCGTCCAAGATCTATACCAGCGGCTCTCACATCACAGGCACCGTATCTGTCTGCCCAGACAGCCGCACTCCCTTTCACTGCATCCAAATCGCTCTCATGGGCACCTCTCACACTCGGGTCGACATGCTACCCGTCCCCAAGATCACCACCGACGTGTTCCTCAACCTAGACATGCCCATTACGAAGACATCCTACCCGCAAGGACGGGTCTTTGCGGCAGGAGAAACCCAAACTATCCCATTCAACTTCACCATACCACGAGAACTACACAAAGATGCCTGTGAGGCTGCTTCAGGCGATCACTCCCACGATCAACACATGCGACTGCCTCCATCAATGGGTGGTTGGGGCAAAGACGACATGTCACCCACGATGGCTCAAGTCGAGTACAAGATAGTTGCTCGACTGCTTCGCAAGAGATCCTCCAGCCCAAAAGATACTACTGAGGCCAGTCAGCGGATCATGGTCCTCCCAGCCTTTGCCGAAGACCCACCCCTGAACATCAACAACCACGATGCACGATACACGCTATCCAGGACCAAGTCCGTCCGCAGAAGTCTTCTTTCTACACAGAAGGATCGCATCGTTATCAATGCGCTTCAGCCTGAAGCAGTCTACATCAGCATCGGCGGCCATCAGCTCCCCGACTCTCACGCCTCCGTAACACTGGACCTAAGCTTTGAATCCAACTCCTCATTCTCATTCCCACCGGAAGTCACTCTGGGCCACGTCAAGCTAGACACTCAGACGTGGTTCACAGGAACCCCCATGAAGATGTCGCCCGACCTAGGAAACCCCCGTGAGGCGGCTGGACTGCGCCATGAGCTGCGGTACTCTACCCAAACCAAGCTCCCTACGACAGACACGGGGGTCATCCTATGGCACAAGGACGACCAGGCAGAAAGCTGCAAGATGTTCACCTGGCGATCAAGAACCAAGGTTCCTATCCGCCTCCCTACCGCACATAAGATGTTCCTGCCCACCTTCTTCAACTGTTTCATTGCTCGGAGCTACATCTTGCGCATGTCTGTCAATTTCAACGGCTCCAAGACCAATCTTTCTGTTCCGCTGCAGATCGCGTCGCAGTCGCTCTACCCTCAAGTGATGGAGCCAGAGGTGGAGGACCTGCCATCCTTTGACGCATCTCTTGCTTGGAGATGACGGAGTGTAGCCGAATCTGTCTCTTTTCCTACGTCTACTTGTTATCTTTTCCGAGAATTTTAGGAGGCGCACTCATATCTGCTGGGTGATTGTGCAAGCTCTTCCACGGAAGGCTGCCAAATGATTGGGATGTGGCGTTACACGTGGATGATCAAGGTTGCCTGCTTTGGTATTTGTTTCCCTTCATTATGGATTGGAGGGTTCCCATGTCGGTAGCGACTGGATTGATATTTATCGATCTCTATTAGGTCATTAACTATGTTTAGCCAGAGACCAACCGGCGTATTTGATCCGCGTTGTGTTTTCTTCTCTAGAGTCTCATTATCATTACCACATTTACACCGAAGCCCCATCGTCAAAAGCCTTCTCCTTTTGACTCTGCTTGTTCTTGACACTTCCGGCAGTCCACTGACGCATCTTCTTGCCCCAGAAGTAGAGAATAGGCAACCCAAGAGATAAGACGATTATTGCCTCCGCATATAGGGCGAATGTTTGAAGGGGTCCTTTCTCGGCGATCCAGACAGTCGCCTTGGAGGCGATGAAGAACGCGACGACAATGCGGAGTGAAGAGACGTTGACGAGTACCGGTCTGCTAGTGTGTCAGCCGTGCACTTCCTTAAGGGTGATCGAAATTGAACATACCCTGCCCATTGCGGGTAGCTCTCGACAATGAAGACATTGAGAATGGTCATGGTTGTCAAAAAGGCAAAGACGATCAAGAAGGAGCCGACCAGTAGAACCGCCCAATGCATGTTCTGCTCACCGGCAGTTCCGAAGACGAAGCAGCCCGCTACTCCCGAAACGAGCGGCAGGATCAAGTTGGCAAGGTGATGCTCCGGCTCTCTGCTTCCGCCCTGCCACCTTGTCACAGCGTTGGAAATTTTGTCAGCTACAGGGCCACCAAAGACGTAGACCAGCGCCGAGGCGGCGAAGAAGGGAAGCACGGTGAGACCGGTCCACTGGAACTGCCATCCTTGGGCGAGGAGGGCAAACGGCGTGATCTGCTGAGCGGCCTGGTTGATGACGATCATGGAACTGTTGGCCAGAACGCCCCAGATGATGGCCGGGAAGTACGTGGATCTGAGGGCATCAAACATGGACTTGGCAGCGCGCTTGAACTCGAAGCCGTTTTGGAAGACACCGATGTTGGTCCACACCGTGCGTGGCGTGTAGTTGACATAATCGAGCTCCGGGCGGTTCTGGCCAGGCAAAAGAGGAACGGTATTCTGACCACCTGTGACGGGTTAGTTGCGCTCGAGTAATACCCTTTGGGGGTAAGGCGAGACATACTGAGCTCTTCCTGGGAACGAGTCCAGCGAGTCTCAGGCAAGAAGGCAATGAGTATGGCCCAAGCCAAGATACCCATGCCAGAAGTGATGTAGTACAGCCACCTCCAGGTGTAGTTGGCGGATACCCATGGTGCTGCAACACCAAGACCGATGATGATGATCCCCTGACTGGATACTACAGCCGACATGGCCTTGTTTCTCTGGTGGATGAAGACCATATCCTGAACAATCAGAGGAATCAATGCCTCTACCGCACCGGCGCCCAAACCCATGAGAGCTCTGGCAAGCAAGTGCTGTTGCAGGCTCGTACTGAAAGCAGCAAACAAGCCACCAGCCCAAGCACTAGTCGCAGCGAACAAGAGGACCGGTCGACGGCCAATCCAGATGGATGTGGGCACCAGGAAGTAGCTCGCAATACCGTTTGCCAAAAGGGGCATCGTAGCTAGGAGAGCGACTTCATCTAGGGAAGCTGGCTTGACGCCAGGTGGCACGACGGACATGGGATTGATGTTGAGACCGCTGCCGCCACTCTGGGCCTTGAAGTCGATGTTGTTGAGGATGCGCGGGTCGACTCCCGAGTACTCGAGGATGAAGACGGGGAGGAGACCACCGATGAAAACCTCTGCTGACAGGGCAAGTGCACCGACTGTGAGAACTAGTCAGTCTCTAGCGGCCCTTCGTACGGTTAATGGGACGTCTTACAGAAGCAAAGGGCACCGATTGCTGTCCATTTTCGCCATGCGGGGAGGTTCAGTGGATCTATACATTATTCTCATATCAATCATCATTGCTCGTTGGTATCAAACGGGGATTCTCAGAACTCACCCTTGGGATCAGCCGTGGGCATCTACGCGTTGTTAGGAAAGCCCTTGAATCAAGAGGATATGTCAAACTTACAGGAATCAGCCTCAGCTGCCCGTCCACATAGAGATTTGTCGTACCGACGACCAGCGTCTCGTTCTTCTCACTGACCCCGTCGTCGAACTCGGACACCGACACGGCGGGCGCACGCTTAGGACCAGCCTGCTCATCCTGGAGCGGCCAGCGGTTGTTCGTCGCCATCTTGTCAGTTGTTATGTTTTGCCGTGATGGAGTTAGAGCTGTAGCGCAATCCCACCGCTCCAAGATCCAAGGGTGAAGCTCGTCTTCCCGCCGGATATCAGCGCAGCCTTATACTAGACCTGACATGCCCCCCTGTAGGTGATCGGTAGCAAGGGGAGGGGGATGATGATTTGCAGGTTCGGAACGTCCTCTGGATTCCGAGCTGGGGTTGAATCAGAAGAGTTGGATCTATACCAAACAGGTGAAGGGAAGGAAAGCAGAGAGGTATGGGAAAAGCCGTGCGTTTAGATCTGTAGTAATCCTAGTTGCGTCTGGTCTTGTGTGCCTGTACTCGAATCGGAGACGTGCCTGGACGGATCCGTCGCATCAGGCGAACCGTCAATCGCACGACACCCGCGACGATGATCAACTACGCCAGTGACACTGGAGAGACAGACTCAGACACGAGTGTACGATACTGTCTCTGGGCAAAGTGGGTGTGTGTCTCCCTCCACATCCCGCCTGCCGGGGGCGGAAGAGGCCTCTCCCATGTTCGCCCAAGTTCCCCTTTCTCCCAAGCACGGGCGTGTCATGTTTCCACCTGACAAACGTTCGTCGCCGCGAGACCGGGAGCTAGGATATAGAACCTTGGAAAAAGCCCATGGTCTGTGATGCTGGTGTCTGCTTTCGGCAGTTGAAGAATTTCTGGATCGCCTGATGGGGCGGTTGGGTGGTGCGGGCCGGGGAGCTAGGGCGAGACTAATTCGTCGTCGAAGCAGAAGAGTCCCACGCTTAACACGGTGGGATTCGTCTAGAATATTTGGCATGACACAGCTGCGTCTTGCGCCTTGTAGGGATTGGGACTCTTTGGGTACGGTGGGATAAGGGGGTGTGACTTGGTCTGGGGTTGGAATGCGGCATGCGACGGTTTGATCGACGTTCTCGCGCGCGCGAGATAAACCCTTGCCTGTCGTTCTTTGGCGTCTTGAGATTCTTCACGCTTTCCATCATGCCTTACACCTATAAAGTTGCCCCTTGCATCGGGAGACGTTGCGGAACGTATGTAAGTAGACTGCATAGGGCTCCTAGCGTCCAGTCCATGGGGCTGATGTGGAGAGAATCTTAATTCAATCACCCCTTGAGCAATGGCATACAGACGGTCAGTGTCTTTGAAAAGCTCTACCATGATATTGCCCGTAGTGAGGATTCTAGGAAAGCCAACGTGGGCTTAAGTAAACTCTATCCGTCTCGACGCGCTCCAGTCTTCATCGCATCATAACCGCGCGCGCCAGTCGGCCGGATCAACATCCTCCAAGTCACATTGCATCCAAGACTTCAGACCGTTTCTTTTCTCTTGGAACAAGTTGAGATGAAATGCCACAGAGTACAGAGGAAGGCAAACAAACCTTTCCAGCATGGCAGCAAGTTCATAAGCGACTATACTAAGACGCAGCTAGTGTACTCCATACGGGTCGCGAAGAAAGGTTCTTGACTCAACGCATGAACGCAGCACCACCACCTTGTTACAGACCCCCGGTCCGAGTGCCTCAAGCCAACACAATTTAAGACGTTTGGATCTTCGACAACTTCGCCTCGTTCTTTTCTTGATCCGGCGCACGGATGGCGATGCAACGATACGCTGGATTTGATACATCTCAACGTCCCAATCACAGAGTGGACATCCTCAAAAGCTGCAAAATTGCGTTGCACATTCAGAACCTAAGTCAATATTACCACGGCAATATTCCAACCTGCCAAGAAGGTTACAATCCTGAGGATTTGACGGGGAGAGTTGACGACGACTACGACCACGATCGGCAGGTGACAAACTCGCATCAGCTCATATCCAACCCCCCCCCCCCCCCGGTACTGTTGTATTACAATACCTTTCGTCTGAATTACATTGACTGGTTTGTCTGGTCTCTGGGCTTGGCCCTCCTTCACCATGACTTCATGCCGGCGTTACACGTTTCGGTTTACCAATGAAGCAGGTATTGGCACACTCTAGCCTCCACGCCTCTAGGTAGTCTCTCCTGTACAGACCTGTTTCTCTGCCAAGCCCACCGAACGGCCGAAGCCCTTTTGTCTGAGGCTCTGAGCTGGGTGCCCCCATCGTGATCGTCGCCGGTCGGCGCTCCATGTGTCGAGTCTGATGTTTCCTTCAGATGATACCTATCCGTCGGCCCATCCGTTGTGCGTCCTCTACTCCTCGCCGTCCACTTTCCGGTGCGGCGACCCGGCTTGCTGGCTTTGCCTGGGCACCGCGTGTCCACTTGTGACGGGCCAAGGGCAGCTTACGAATCTACATGTACAGAATGAAGTGATCGTCGAGAAGACCACTTGAACAGCAACCCTGAGGTTTGAATTCATGTTTCGCAGAGAAATTCCATCGGCGCAATACAACGTGGAAACTTTTTCAACTGCAGCTGCAATCGGATCAGCTTTGGCCGAACTCTTATTAAGCGGCGTTCCCTCATGCGATATTCCGCGATTATCATCTCTGCAAGTATTTGACATAGAGTCTGATAGTGACTCTCGACATATGCCACGTTGTTGGAGTAATGGCTCCCACAATGGCTTGGCCGAAGCTCGCGATATCCCATGAGCCATGGCGAGGTACTAGAAGCGAAGGTTTGTTCGAATTTTGCTTCCAAAAGCCAATCCTTTGGTCAAATCTAGAATACATTGGTCATTCGAGTTTTACCAACTTATAATCGGCCGTCCAAGTCCCATCTATTAGTAAGACTGTTGTGCTGTATATCACTCTGGTCCGTCATCAGAAAGCCCAAAACATAACGCCATGCTTAGCCCCATTGTCCCTTTACACACGATCTGACTCGCTTCTCGAGACGCAACAGCACTATCCAGCCAGAAATCGTACGCATCTGAAGCCGCTTTAGTTGTCGCTCGCACCCAAGACCCTCGCAAGCAGTACGTAGAAGAATACGACACCGCCGGCGACGAGCAGCTTGTTCTGATTCAGCCAGCCCCGGCCGGCATCTCGTTGTTGCACAACAGCATCGACGACAGCCTGGGCTTGGTGGCCACTTCCATTCCCGATGCCAAGTTGGGGCCCGCAAGAGGCCCCTGCTGCCGCTCCCGTCCTGTTACCTGTCGCCAAGTCAATCTTGGTCTCCTTCATCCACTCCCAGTTGGCCTTGTCGACTTCGGGCCATTCGGCTCGAAACTTTGCGCCGCCGTCACCGGCCTTGACGTTGCCCTTCGTTGCCACATTCGATTTTGCGTGGGATCCTCCGCCTGTTGAGTTCCACCACTTTGTTCGTGCTGCCAACATCTTTCTTTCGACTTCTGTGCTAGATACGGAACCGGTCGTCATTTCTTCGCTGGTCATGAAGGAAAGCAAGCCTATCAGAATGGTGGACACCTCCCAGGCAGGGTTGAAGGACTTGGGATGGAAGTCGGAGATGGACAGGCAGAGGCGCGTAGATGGCTGAAAGCGACCGGAAGGAGTGTGCATTCGGATAGCTGGGGGCGCGAAAGGGTAATTCGGGGGGAAGACCAGAGTTCCCCAGTACTGGCCGCCATGGTACGGTGTGTTTTCGGGACCGGTGATGATATAGTGCCATCTGTCTACCTGTTAGCATGGATATCTGACATGGATGCGATGGACGACTACACACTCGAGAATGTTGGATTCAGAGGGGTGTGCCTCGATGTATGGTGGCGGGTTCTCGGCGATAGTCTTGTACTCGCGAGTCAACTGTGTAAGAGTTAGTAGAATGCATCTCATGGAAATGACATGTCAGTGCATCTTACCCTCTTCTGTGCGGCTCTACTGGCAGCCATGGTTGCTGAGGATTGCCGACGAGATGCTGTAGTATCGGGATCGACGGTGGGCGGCGAACGACGTAATGGGGAGCACGATCAGTGACCGGTGGCGGGTGGCCGGTCGAGAGAGAGCGAAGAGAATGATATGGGTAATGTACAGAAGATGGAAATTGAAACGACTGAATACACGCAGTTGGATGCAGATGTACTGCTCTCTTTCGACTGTTGGTTTGTATGGTGTTGGGGTTGTTGTTGATATAGGATGAGCGAATGGGTAACGGAGATGGAATGCGGCGAGGCTGTGACAAGTGCCGCCAGTGCGTTGTCCACTCAAGGTGCTTTTGGGGGGGGGGGGGGGGCTTGGGGGGCCCTCGGGGTGCGTCAAAACGCAAAGACACGAGACGGAAAAAGATACGTATCTCCAGTGTCCGGTGAGTCCACGCCGAAGAGGCGCCACAGAATTATGTCACTGGTCGAAGGAGTGGGTTTCTACCAGCCACATATAACACCCTGTGCCTCGGAATTTCCACCATTTTCCATTGGATGAGTGGCCGCTTGATGTATGGCTGGAGAGCAGTGAATACGTACCTACCTCAGTGGACAGAGCTTCCAGAGTGTGGCTGGAGCTTCTTCTCCCGAGTGCCCCAGAAGCCCCACCGAGAGTGACCTCGTCCCGATCCGTTCCCTTACGCCCGTGCTGCATCTCGAAATTCAACCGAAGCTCTCCGGCTTGTGTGATTTTTGTCTTGTCCACCCACTTACAAGCTGCAACGTTGAGCTCACGTCTGTCACAACTCTCACCAAGGCTCCAATGGCTTCCAAGACCAGTGCGAGCGGAAGCTCTGTATAGTCTCCCTTCTCAATCGTCTCTAAACCCTCCAACGAAAGCTAATGGAACCCGCGCTTTTCTTAGGCTTCCAACCCGATTGGCAAGCTCCAGGCCGGGCCCGATGCCTTGCGCAAGGAGGCAGAATCCTCAGCCGAGTTCGAGAAGCTCCAGGAAGAGGCCAAAATCAGAAAGCTGCAACAATTGGCACGCTCTTACCATTCTCTCGCTCAACGGTCCCTGACCTTGCTAATGCGCGCAGTAGCTCTCCGACCAGAACTCGCAGCCCATGACCATCAACCGCTTGCAGGTTCACGGCGCTACCAACACCCGAAGAGGCTTCCTCGACCCTATCTTCACCCCGCTCTTGACCGAGGATGTCAACAGCTCCTCCACGCTCGGCGAAGTAGCGGCGCGGTTGGGCGACGCCAGAGGAAAGCTGGAGAGACTCGGTATGGGCAGCATCCGCCTTTGGAGAGACATTATGGTCTAACGCTTACTCATAGGCATCTTCCACCCCGATGTCAAGGTCCACCTTAGCAACGCCAACAACACCGATGCCTCGTCCACTCCGACCGACGTCGACGTCGATGTCGTCGTCAAAGAGCTCTCCCGCTACAAGTTCAACGCCGGAACCGATGTCGGAAACAGCGAAGGCTCCGCTTATACCTCCTTGCTCTGGCGCAACATCTTTGGCGGTGCGGAGCAGCTTACTGTCAATGCCAGTGCTGGCACAAGAACCCGTTCCGCATACAGCGCGACCTTGAGCGCACCCGTCCAAAGCAACCCCGATACGAGAATCGCACTCGAGGGTCTCGCTTCCGCCACCGATAAATCCTGGGCAGCACACGAGGAGGTTCTGAAGGGAGGAAACCTGCGCTTCTCATGGCTTTCTGGCCTCAAGGACATGCACACGGTTGAATATTCCGGCATTTGGCGTCAAGTTACCGGTCTCCGCGACAGTGCCAGTCCCACTGTCCGTGCCGATGCCGGAGACTCCGTAAAGAGCTCCATCAAACACACATACCAGAGAGACGAGAGAGATAACCCGCAGCTTCCGCAAAGCGGCTACGTACTCAAGTCCGTTTGGGAGCTGGCTGGTCTCGGCCCCTTAGGCGGTGACGTCGCCTTCTCCAAGAGCGAATGGGAGGTGGGTGGTGCGCTGCCCGTCCCTGTTCCTGGCGTGGAGGGACCATCTGGAATCTCGATTGG